ACGATGACCTACTTTTCAGTTGTTGTACTCCGAGGACCCAAGATGCATCAACTGACAATGTTTGATGATTCTAAGCCAATAAGTACCTGAAATATTTAATTAAAGCCATAAATTTTCAAAAGTAGGTCACAGTGACCTACTTTTCAGTCGACTTACTTTGAAGACCCAAAATGCATCAACTGACAAAGTTTGATGATTCTAAGCCGATTATTACCCGAAATATTTAATTATAATCTTATAAATTGAAAAGTAGGTCACAGTGACCTACTTTTAAATCGACCTACTCCGAGGACCCAAGTTGCATCAACTGACAAATTTTGATGATTCTAAGCCAAATAGCACCCTTGATATTTAAAAAAGTAGGTCACTGTGACCTACTTTTCAGTTGACGTTTTTTGAGGACCCAAGATGCATCAACTTACAAAGTTTTATTATCATAGGCCTTAAAATGTCCAAATTATGCCTCTAAAACGCTTTGAAATCAAATGCCTGCAAAGTTAAAAAAAGAGGTCAACGTGACCTACTTTTTACTAAAAATATTTTATGGCCCCAAGATGCATCAACTTACAAGATTTAATGATTCTAAACCTCTCAGTATTCGAATTAATGACCTTCATTGTTTTGAAAAAGATTAGCCATAAAATTCAAAAAGTGGGTCAAGGTGACCTACTTTTTAGTTGACGTACTCCGAGGACCCAAGATACATCAACTGACAAAGTTTGATGATCATAGGCCTTAAATTGTTCAAAATATGCCTCTAAATCATTTTGAAAAAGAATGGCCACAAAATTTAAAAAGTGGGTCACCATGACCTACTTTTGAGTCAACATGATATTAGGTCCTTAGATGCATCAACTGACAAGATTTGATGATCCTAGTCCTTATATCAAGCAAAATATCAACATGCCCCTGGGTGATTCCCCGTGCAAATTTTAATCTACAACATATCCTCATCCTTTTGTGTAAGTTTGGCGATAATCTGCCCAGTGGTTCTCGAGAAGATTTTTTAGCAACCAGTACTTTTGTTTCTATTTTCCTAATTATCTCCCCTTGTTTAAGGGTCACAACCCTAGGATTAGTATGAAAGGGGGCCCTTGGGCCAAGGATACCCTGGTGTGACAAATTTGACAATAATTGGCCAAGGGTTCTTGAGTTATGGCCCATATTCTAAAAAGTTTACGCACACCGCACAAATGGCCATAGCATTAGCTCTTTGAGCCTTTGGCTCAGAAGAGCTAAAAATGCATAGTCAATGCAACATGTAAGTGGTGATAAAAAACATAATGTTACATGGCTAGGACCAAAAAATTAACAAACTGATTGCATGTAATATTTCTTTTAAAACTCTGAAACATGTCCCCAGCAGGAGGGATTGGTTTTGGCATGGTAATCTATCACAAAGTCGTTTATAGTTCGTAACATTGGATCCCTTCAAATATTTTATGCTACCAATGATCAATATTGCAGTTTTTAGCTCACCTGAGCTGAAAACTCAAGTGAGCTTTTCTGATCACCCATTGTCTATCGTCCGTCTGTAAACTTTTCACATTTTCAACTTCTTCTCAAGAACCACTGGGCCAATTTTAACCAAACTTGCTACAGAGCATCCTTGGGTGAAGGGGAGTCTAAATTGTTAAAATGAAGAGCCAAGCCCCCTTCCAAGGGGTTATAATCAAGATAAGACAAAAAAAAAGAGGGTCAATAAAAAAATCTTCTTCTCAAGAAATTGATCATTCACATGAAGGTTAAAAATACTGAGCTAGTTGTGTATGGTCTTAATGCAATGTTGGGGTCATTTCTGCATTCCAGTATTCTTTTACAACAGAATATTAACTGCAAGTGGCCTGATTACTGTACTGATGGTCTACTTTGTATTGTATCAACACCATGAGTAACATCCATTTTTGTTAAAAAGAAACAAGAGGCCCAGGGGCCACATCACTCACCTGAGCACTATGGCTAGGAAAAAGAAATCAGTTCAGTCTTGAAAGGTTGAAAAGTTTAATATAAAAGTGGTTCGTTGGGGGGGGGGGGGGGGGGGGGGGGTCATGAATTGAACAAATTTGAATCTACATTATCTGAGGATGCTTCCATTTAAATATGACCAATCATGGCTTTGCTGTTCTTGAGAAGAAGATTTTTAAAGATTTAACCTACGTATTCCTATGTAAGACTTTGATCACCCATTGTGGCCCCACTCGACCTCCAGGGGTCATGTTTGAACAAACTTGAATGTACACTATCTAAGAATGCTTCCATATAAATATGACCAATTATGGCTTTGCTGTTCTTAAGAAACAGTTTTTTTTAAAAGGTTTTTACTATGTGTTCCCACGTAAAACTTTGATCGCCCATTGTGGCCCCACCCGACCCCAGGGGGTCATGTTTAGAACAAACTTGAATCTACACTACCTGAGGATGCTTCCATGTAAATATGACCAATCATGGCTTTGTTGTTCTTGTGAAAAAGATTTTTACAGATTTTTCCTATGTATTCTTTTTTAAAATTTGGATCGCCCATTGTGGCTCCACCCTACCCCCCGAAGGTCATGATTGGAACAAACTTGAATCTACACTACCTGAGGATGCTTCCATATAAATATAACCATTCATGGCTTTGCTGTTCTTGAGAAGAAGATTTTTAAAGAATTTTCCTATATATTCCTATGTAAAACTTTGATCGCCCATTGTGGCCCCACCCTACCCCCGGGGGTCATGATTTGAACAAACTTGAACCTGCACTACTTGAGGATGCTTCCATGTAAGTATGACCAATCATGGCTTTGTTGTTCTTGTGAAAAAGATTTTTACAGATTTTTCCTATGTATTCTTATTTAAAATTTGGATCACCCATTGTGGCTCCACCCTACCCCCGGGGGTCATGATTGGAACAAACTTGAATCTACACTACCTGAGGATGCTTCCATATAAATATGACCAATCATGGCTTTGCTGTTCTTGAGAAGAAGATTTTTAAAGTTTTCCTATATATTCCTATGTAAAACTTTGATCGCCCATTGTGGCCCCACCCTACCCCCCGGGGGTCATGATTTGATAAAAATTGAATCTACACTATCTGAGGATGCTTCCACATAAATAAGACGAATCATGGCTTTGCTGTTCTTGAGAAAAAGATTTTTAAAGTGTTTTCCTATATATTCCTATGTAAAACTTTGATCGCCCATTGTGGCTCCACCCTATCCCCGGGGGTCATGATTGGAACAAACTTGAATCTACACTACCTGAGGATGCTTCCATATAAATATGACCAATCATGGCTTTGCTGTTCTTGAGAAGAAGATTTTTAAAGAGTTTTCCTATATATTTCTATGTAAAACTTTGATCCCCCATTGTGGCCTCACCCTACCCCCAGGGGTCATGATTTGAACAAACTTGAATCTACACTATCTGAGGATGCTTCCATATAAATATGACCAATCATGGCTTTGCTGTTCTTGAGAAGAAGATTTTTAAAGAGTTTTCCTATATATTCCTATGTAAAGCTTTGATCCCCCATTGTGGCCCCACCCTACCCCCGGGGGTCATGATTGGAACAAACTTGAATCTACACTACCTGAGGATGCTTCCATATAAATATGACCAATCATGGCTTTGCTGTTCTTGAGAAGAAGATTTTTAAACAATTTTCCTATATATTCCTATGTAAAACTTTGATCGCCCATTGTGGCCCCACCCTACCCCCGGGGGTCATGATTTGAACAAACTTGAATCTACACTACCTGAGGATGCTTCCATATAAGTTTCATATTTTCAAGCACAGTGGTTCTTGAGAAGAAGATTTTTAAATGATGCCATTAATTTTTCATGAATTCATGATTATCTCCCCTTGAAAGAAGGCGTGGCCCTTCATTTGAACAAACTTGAACCCCCTTCACCCAAGGATACTCTGTGCCAAGTTTGGTTGAAATTGGCCCAGTAGTTCTGGAGAAGAAGATGAAATTGTGAAAAGTTTACAACGACAACAACGCCGACGACGACAGACAACGGACAAATTTTGATCAGAAAAGCTCACTTGAGCCTTCAGGTCAGGTGAGCTAAAAAAGCTTCGCCATACATTGTTTAAGACTGTAAGCATCAATTTTTAACAAACACAATCAAATATTGACAGAACTTTAATGAACACTGATGTTATATTCTTTACACATAAATCATTTGTCCCCCAAAGATTGGAAAAAAAATAATTATAAGCTATAGACAGAATTGTACAGATACATATTGACATTTGCTTAAAATTTCTCTAAAACTTAGGATATTACATTAAAATAAGTTTTTCAAATTAGTTAAATGGTTTTGCAATGGTTTACAACTGTATATTGTCAAGTTATGTTTTAAAATTTTTTAATTTATCTTTAAGTAATGAATAAATAACATGGTAATAATAAAATAATTGTAAATTACAATAAATGCTGAACAGAAAAGACTGTCATTATTTTTACGTGAAAATGTTCACAGTTAAGTAAAAATGGATCACTTCACCTGCATAACAAAACTCTACCTCTAAAACATATCATACTTTCAAAATAGATTTACATGATGGTACATATCCCAATTCAACTTCTATAGTATTATTACATTTTTTTAAAAACTCAAAAAAAAAATTTAATGAATGACTTTCAACCCACCAAGTCTTATCTTGGTCAGAGAGTCAAATACATCAAGAGGTACCTGAATAGTCAAACAAGGAAGTACAAGGATACAAACAGAAAATCTACTAATCAAAGCCTACATAATGTCTCAGAAATAATATACGAAAAGTGACGTTATATGAATTATTTACAATGGCTACAACTGCCTATAACACAATTTTCCGTAAGAAATTACTGCAAATTTTGAACTTTCTTGTTAGATTTGTGTATTGAAATCATTTTATTGCATTATAGTTTATTTACCACAGATCTGTCAAAACAGAAAAGGGAGAAAGTTAAAAGTTAAAATTCCTTTGAATCCAACAATCCAACCCCCCCCCCCCCCCCCTTATAATTAAAACATAAAAAAGTGTGTTCTTTTGAATATATATGATTCACCATACTAAGTACTTGTTGAATTTAAAAGAAAAAGGCCAAAAGGAAAAGAAGTAGCATAAATCACTGCTAACAAGTTTTCACATCAACTTTAACAAATGACAAAAATATCAACTATCAAAGACTCGTTTGCCATGAATAAATTATTAAGTCTATAATTACACAACAGTAAACTCAGAGTTCTCAGGCAGCTGAATCACAAAGCACTGCATACCATCTTCATCTAGCTGTGTTTTGATCTCAATGTTTTGTGGCAGTTGGTCCTGGCCTGCACCAAGTGCTGCTCCCTCCAAAATCTGCTGCAGGACCTCACTGTTGATCTCAATCTGTTGTTCTCCCTCCTGGACCTCCTCTTCCTGCACCTCCTGAACCTCTTGAATGACTTCTGTCACCTCTTCCTCTGAGGTTGCCATGGGTACCTCAATCTTCAGCTCTTCCTGAGAATACTCCCCTGGGTCTTCCACAACTGCCTCTACCTGAACCTCAGGTTCCATCGGATCAACATTTTCTATAATGATCTCTGTTGGTCTCATCTTCTTCATGGACTGTCCCATGTTGTAACCCCGCCTAGAAGTGGTGTTTTCTTTGCTCTTTATGAGGTAGGAAACATCCTCTCTAATGGTGTGCGGGTCCACACCATTGCGACGGCAGTTCTCAATGTGCTTTGTGGTGTCCATGTGCCGGTACATTTTTCCAGCCTCAGCAAAGGTCATAAAGCAAAAGTTGCACTGGAAGATTCGACTGGAAGGGTTATGGACTCTCTTGATGTGACTATTCAATGTTCCCAGACTTGAACAAGCATAGTCACAATGATTACATTTGTGAGGCTTTTGGCCTGGAAAACAAATATATTAGAGTATTAAAGACATTTTATATATGAGTTAAACTCAGTTACTTTAGATTTTACAATTTTGTCATTAAAATGAGAAAATATATGATATGTACCATCCTTTTCATTAAAAAAATTCCGTCTTTTTTATAAGTTTACCTGTGTGGATAGCCAAGTGACGTTTGTACTGGTGAAGCACAGCAAATTTACGATTACAGTATTGACAAGTATAGTGATGAATCTTTTTCTCCATTGCTAGCTCTGGATGAGTAGCCACCAAATGGATCTTGTAACCCTCCATTGTCCAGCTCTTGTGTTCGCATGCCTCACAATCAATGGTGTTCTCCCGGTGGGAGTAGCTGTGTTTCTGGAGCTGACTCTTGGTTCGGAATCCCTTCCCACAGATGTTGCAGGAAACAGGTCTCTCATTGCAGTGTTGGAAGCGGACATGCTGGTTTAGAAGGGTGCGCAAAGCATACTTTTTATTACAGATGTTGCATTCAAATGGACGCACTGTGCTGTGCTTCAATCTCCTGCAAGACAAAAACAATAACTTTACACAAAGTCTGGTAAATCACAATTTAAAAATTTTTCAACACTTGATTTCTGCAGCATTTTGAATATGTTTTTTTGTGTTTAGAAAGTAGGGAATTGAGATTAGTCTGTACATCTTTCGCTGACTGAATTCTTAGTAAGGACATTGAAACTCATGAATAAAGCGGTGGATCATACGCACGTTAAGAATAACTCTAATTTAAAAAAAAAAAGGATAATTCTGATTTGATAAATTATCAGCTTTCGCAACTTTTATCAACCATCCAATTAAAAGAAATTTGTCAATTACTCATGGTATCAAAAATTTATACTCAAAGAGTTAAACATTTGTTGACACACCAATGAAGTTTCTTCAGCATACTTACACATGGGTGTTGAGGTTTGACTTGGTGTTGAAGGTGTTTCCACAAAAATCACACACCAGCTTCTTCTTGGGTCTGTGGTTGGACACATGGATGATGAAATCATCAACAGTGTTGTACACCTTGTGGCATCGGGCACAGCCAAACTTTTCTGGGTCATCTGTAGCTTTACGGTGAGTGTTGATGATATGCTCATGACTTTCCTTCATGTGCTCCAAGAGTTCAACTTTAGAGACGTATGGTGTGTCGCAAATTTTACAGGTTTCCATGTCTGATTTCTCCTTTGGCTTGGATGCCTCTTCGTGTTTGTCGTTAATGTGCTTGGTCATGTACCGCTTCAACTTGAACTGCTGTGGACAGTGAGGACACTTGAAAGCATACTCCTCTGAGTGGTGAAGCATGTGGTGATTCCTCAACGTATATGGGTAATTGAAGCGTTTGTTGCAAATTTTGCAGACCAAGGATTCGTCATCATGGATCTTCATGTGTGCATCATATGTCTCTTGGGTGTTTAGGATTTTCAAACACAAACGACATTGGAGTGGATTTACATCCTTCTCTTCGACCAAGTTCTCCTCTGGGCTATGAATGGTTAAAATGTGGAGCTTACAAAAGCTTTTTTCCAAAAATGAATAGTCACAGTGTGGACAAAGAAAAGCTCCATTCTCAGACACATGAGAGTTTTCATGATCTTGCAACTCTTCCCTCGACTGAAATTGTTCCTTGCAAAATATGCATGTTGTCTGAATTTTCATTTCCTCTTCACTTGGTGGCTGTGGGGCAACACTTTCTGGATCAACATTACAAATTGCTTCATGCTCTATAAATGCCTTGCGACCACTGAACTTAAGTTTACACTTCTCACATTCAAAGGCATTCAACTTTTTGTGAATGTCTCTCAAGTGATTTCCAAGCTTGAAGTTGGTAGAGAAGCGAACATCGCAGATGTAGCATTGATATGCACCCTCAAGCATTTCATCATGAGTTTTCAAGTGCTTGATAATTGCAGTACGCATTCTCATAGTCTTGCTACATAGAAGGCATTTGTACCAAACCTTATTGTCAACAATTGTCTCTTCACAACGACCCTCTAGCAAATTCTGATTTGTAATTCTCTGTTGTGGAATGTTGATATTGCTATCCTTTCTCTTTTTCCTGCCAGGAGTGGTCAATATGACTCCATTAACCTCAACACCTTCATCAAAGACAGGCTTCCTCTTAAGGCCTCTAGTACTTCTCATTCCTCTTGTGGAGCTTCTGGTAGGTTTTGGCTTGAATTCTTCTTCATCCTCCATTGTGGGGTTGTATTCCTCATCAGAATCATGAATTTCTTCCTCTTCTTCCTTCATTTTTTCAATAGCATCTTCTTCCATCTCTTCTTCTCCAATATTCTCTTTATCAGCTGCATCTTCTTCAATCCCTTTTTCGCCATCATCCATTTGATCTGATTGGTTTTCCTTGCCATCATCCTGCTCTGATGCTGTTTTGGTATCTTTTGTTATTGCTTTTGGAGTACCTTTCAGTGAAGACTTTTCAGAAATAGATTTTCTGGGACTTTCTGACCCTTTGCTTGGACTTTCACTTTCCAGAAGTTTGCTACTTTTCTTAGACTTTCTTCCTGATCTTGTGGTAATCACATCTTCTTCTGCATCATCTGGCAAATTTTTGGCTCTGGCAGGTGTAGAGAGAACTGGTTCAGTTTCCTCTTTAGTTTCCTCTTTTTCTGTCTCATTGTCCTCCTCATGGTAAGCCATATTATGTGATTTTCTCATGTGAACTCCTATAGATCGCCTAAGGTTGAATCCCTTCTGACAGACTCGACAGACAAAGGCATACTCCTGAGAATCTGTATCATTGACCTCACCTGGTGCATTTTCCTCCTCATCCTTCTCAATCTCTTCTTTCCTTTCTAAAGTTTCTTGACTGTTCCTCATCTTCTCAGTTACTTTTCTTATCCTCTTGGATGTTCTAGATGGGACAATTTTAGGTGTTTTAGACTTTGTCTGCTTATCAGAGTGATGTTCTCTATCCATATGTATCTCCAACATCTCTGTAGAAGGAAATGTCTCCTTACATTCTGGACAGTCTGATGGTTCATAGGGAGTCATCTTGATTTGTATAGAAGCATTGTAATCCTTCCCGTGCATGGTTTTCATATGGTTGTAAATGTATCGCTTCACGCTGAAGGGCCTGTCACAATCTGGACAATGGTAGTTGATTCGCTGATGAATTTGCATGTGCTGCTTTAGATACTCATCCGTCTTAAAGATTTGGAAACATTTCTCACACTTGACACCAGTCTTTTCTTCCTGTTCTACCTTTGGGGTGCGCCTGTGTATGTGTTTTATTCTACTCGGAGTTCCAGAGGTTTTCTTCTCAGCCTTCCAATCTTCATCTTGATCATCATCAAATATCTCTTCTTCCTGTGATTCATCTTGTATTTTGGATGTTGTTGGCTCTTCTGAGCCCTCTGTAGTTATTACTGCAACTACACCAGTTTCTGATGAATAGGTCTCTGGGAAAAAAAATATGTATCACCATTTATAATTGAATCCCTCTCAAAAGTTTCCTTAGAATTCTCATTAAATTTGCAATTTTCACTGATTAAGATATTTTTTTCAAGGACAATTGCCAAATACTATCTAGAGATGTATTATCTATATATAAGTATATACCGTAAAGTCACGTGTATTGGACACACTTTTTTTCGTCAGAAAATTGTTCAAAAGTTGGGGTGCTTGCATTACATAGGAACTCAATTCAGTCCCTTTCTTTTCTGGACATCTTTCTTAACTCTTAGGAGTGATTTTCACTGTTTTCACATCCTAAGTTTAAGTATATTCCCCAATTCTTAAATGATAGGCATGTATGACATAGATCGACGGTATATAAATCAACAGAAATAAAAATAGGTATATCCATTAAAATGATATTATTTAGAATTAAATATATATATTATATATATATATATATATATATATATATATATATATATATATATATATATATATATATATATATACACACACATATATGTATATTTTGAAAAAAAAAAACATATTTATCTTATTTTAACTTGTATATCATCACCGCCAAATTTTACTCCATTCGACACTAATGTAGGTCATATTTGTTTATAACAATTTCCGGCCGGTTGGTTTCCAGACAACTGCCATTTTAGACAATACACTCATAATCAGTAAAATTTATTTAACAATAAATGTTTTTAACACCTTTTTAATTACCTGGTATCACTTGTATACATAAGTGTGACACTAATTACGCTTGGGATGATTTGTTTACGTAAACATATGTGCTTGGAATGCATTGTCAGCACAATATCGTAACATGCTTGGGGTTATAAAAAAAATTAGGGACTTAGCTTTTAATTTATACCAATCACATAACAATTTAAAATACGAACTAAACTTAAATACATGTAAATAAAGCTTATATGTAAACTGAATTTGCCAAGAAAATTAAAAGTTGTATCCTACTTTCGTTTTTGAAATGATACAAATATTTTAACTTTTTAAACTTTTTCTTTGAATTAGTTGTGCTGTGAAAAAAAGAGATACATTCATATTTGCATTTTGGGGTGCATTTTACCTATAGGAACTGCGTTTTTCTCAGGATTTCCCCCCAAAATTTGGGGGTGCATCTATTACAAGAGTGCGGCCTTTACACGCGACAATACGGTAGCCAAAAAAAAAAAAAATTACTAGGCCAAAAAAAATTAATCGACAGTTTCTCAGGCACTGCCGCATCAGGTCAAAAACTGCCGCATTGATCAATTTTATTGACATAATGAAAAGGGAAATAACTCAATTTTCTATTTTTCCAAGTTGAAAAAGAAAATTGAGTTATTCCCCTTTCATAAATGCTAATAGATATACGTTTTTTTATTAGATAAACAATATATTTCTTGTTAATGCTGTATTTTATTAATTAACTTTTAAACAAATGTTTGGAATAACATTATTTAAAATTGAATACATATTATAATTAATTTAAGAGAACAAAAAAGTAAGAATCAGTTGATGTCATCATTTTGTGACTGACATGAAAAAAGAGGTATAACACCTGCTTAAAACCCCCCCCAAAAAAAACAAAAAAAAAAACCCCAAAAAAACCTGTCTGTCACATTGAATTTTGAAATTTTTGGCCTGAGAAACTATTAATTAATTTTTATTGGCCTTAGCATATTTATTTATTATTGAATGTAATCTTTTCTTAAAACCAAATTTTCCTTTTTCTTAAGTTTTAGTCTATGTATTGTGAGACAAAGAGCATTTTATTTACATTCTCTATGTATGGTTTTCTAGGTTATACAATATGATATACAATATATTATTAAATCCAATATTTTATAGCAGCATGTATGACCATGTTATCTACTAACCAACACAGAATTTATAGAACTCCAACAGCAGCTCCCGTTTACTATCCAGGAATTTCTTGCCTAGATCTGTCCCAAAGTATGTCGTCTCTTTTGTATTCAGGTTATTACTGACATAAAAGATGTCATTTCCCTTTTCTACGGCCTTCTGCACCTATTTTAAAATATATACCAAAAGCTTTAACAAACATTTTAAGAGCATTCCATCTGGCAACAGTCAACTTTTAAATTTACTTACCCTGGTATAAAAATTTATTATAAACTGAAATCATGATAAATAAACTTTTTCTTTAATTTTTATTACATTTCAAAGAGAACTTATTTTACAAATTCATCTGCTTTCAGTGGGGGTAGGAACCGAATTAATCTAACTGTTCACAAGATTTCACAAATACACTAGAAAATGTTGAATTTAATAAAATCATCATATTGATGCCTATATTTATTTTTTTCCAATACTATTTAGTTAATCTACATCATCTTACCATATAATGGGCATCCTCTGACAGAGAGGTATATGTCTGTGTCTCTGCGTCTACCATTTTTGACGCTGCCAAATCTCAGCTCATCTTTGAATAAATTCTGCATTTAAAATCAAGAGAAAATTACTGACTTTATTACCTGTAATCATTATTCAAATTATTAAGCATCAGTGTTGTCAGTGGTTTTCAAATGTAATGTTATGATTGAATTTTTAATAGAATAACAGAGCTCCAGATAATTTTTTACCTCAAAGTGTATTTACTCCCTGATTTTGAAATCAATGCAGATTTTGCTTTTCAGCAAAATAATCAAAGAGTATTATGTTAATCAATTGCTCTTCTGACATCTATTGTTGGACAGTGATCAGAAATGGCGGCGGGAATGTTCGATTAACCGCCGTATTACGTTTTCAACAAGATTTTTAGCTCGTTATCGATATAAGTGTTTTTGAAAGAGGAATGTAAAAGAAATGTTAGTTTCTGCATTTATCAATTAGGTTAATGAAATTTTAAAAATGTTGTCAGCTTTTAGTTATGACTGAGAAACATTTCGTTTTTTTTCACGAGAAAGACCATACGATAGGCAAAGTTTCCACGGGCACGCTGAACTCCATTTAAGACTAGGCCTATATCCATCATAGCAAGAGTTACCGAGACCTTTGGCAAAATAAAATTAATCTTTAGATTCTCATTCCCACCTGTCCCTCTCAAAATATCCAGCCCCGTTGTTTTCCATGTTGTTTGTTTGTTTGTTTTTTAATCAAAAATATATACTAGGTTTTGCTATATATATTGTTGGCATCGATATAGGTAAAAGTTTTAGACTTACTCCCCGTTTGCATTAAAAGTCGCGTGGTGCTATTTATAGCACAAGAGCATGTGAAAAGCAAAAAAGCAATATTATTTTCATACAATTAATAAAAGTTGTCGGCGGACTATAGATGATATTGTTGCTACAGAAAAAGGTTAATATACAAGAACCGTTTAATAAACAGTGATAAAGAATAAATTACACACAACGCGTGTTCAATTTTGCCCAGTTTTGACAATATCACCTGTACGCGTCAAAAACGAAAATTTGGATGTTATATGAACAGTGGAAATCTGTGATATTTTCAGATAAAGCACGAGTATTTAATATTCAAATCTTTCTCACGAACTGGAAATCGGTATAGGTTATTCCAAATACACTTAATCAAAATTTCCTTTTGATAAAAATTCAAACACTGAGCTGACTTCAATTCACATAATGAGTTAAAATCCAATCTATTGTACGCAGTACTTTCGTGTGTAATGCTTATTTATGATTGCTAATGCGTAAATGTACGCCCTGTTTTAAATTTTAATGTGTATTTTGAAAAATTCAATGCATATTTCTGCAAATACGCACCTTATCTGGAGCTCTGGAATAAGATGATTATTATCGTTGCGTGGGAAGAGGCTTTCAGTTTCGCGACTGACAATTTAGAGGAAATTCGAAATGATAATTCCTCATATTTTGCTTAAAACAATAGATTAAGTTCCCATATTATACATTTTAATCAGTATATTATTTCTTTCCTGCAAATTTACCCTCTTGTGTAATATAAAAGATATTTGATTTTAAAAAACAGACGCAATGTTGTCTTCCCGCCGCCATTTCTCGTCCTCATTCGTATTAGCGGGATTCAAATACAAACACGTCTTTTCCATTCAGTCCACCATATTTGAATATACAACAAAGTTTAAGAACATCTTGTTTAATGTTCTAAAACTAAAATGTGCGTCCAAACATGTACTTACCCAAAACTTACGCAAGATAATTTGATTTACAAGAGTGACCCAAAATGGCGAGAATGCCGAGACCAAAACGCCACCGGATATACAAAAGTACTAAATGTAAAGCGTTAACGGTGAAATTTCCGGATATATAAAGGTCAACAGTTTTTATGATAAATCTTATCTTGTAATTCGTTTCCCTCAAATGAACATATTTCTTTTTACAGTTATTCAATAGTTACACAATTATTCAGTGAAAGAAGCGATAATATGCCTCTATTTATGCTTCTTTCAAAGCGACATTTAAATACAGGCATGGATCCAGGAATTTTTTCGGGGGTGGGGTGGTGGACGGGGGTTTCTTAGTTCAAAAAAATCAAATTTTCTCAACAAACATAAAAAAGTCTTTGAACACTTCTTTCCTAAAGATGGAAATCCTACTTCGTAGGAGGGGATGGCTTTCCTTCACTTTTAAGCTTATTGATCCATTAAAAGAGGACTGCGTTTTCTAGATAGTGGGGGGGGGGGGGGGGGGCAAACGATGTTGAGTTACTTTACTTTATCTGCCTATGAAATAAAAAGCGAAAACATCACTATCATATACAGTACTTGGTGATATTTTGTGGATATGCTCTTAGGATTTACAATGCTTAATTTAAAATCCTATATGAACAATGGGATATGGATAAAGGTGGGGTGTAAATACGGCAAAGAAAAGTCCATTAATTTATACTCAATATAGTTTAATATATATAAAAATAAATAAAAAGTTAAAGTCTTAAAGTCACCACCTCAATCTAGATGTCAGACATAAATCAACAGAAATGCATTACATTTACAACTTTTCAAGTACCAAGTGTGTGTGTGTGGGGGGGGGGGTATTGACATGCCAAGCGAAAAAAGAAGTGCCTAAAAAATAAACCACTTAAAGAAAAATGTCAGTCACGCACTTTTTGCTGTTAGTTAGAAAGAAAATTTTCATTTTCTTCATATCATTTTACAACCACAAAAAAGGGGGGAGGCTGAAAATTGCACAAACTCCTATGGTGTGTGTGTGGCGTGTGTGTTGGATCTTCATTTAATAATCTCTCCTTTTGACCCAAACAATTCTTGGGGATACATTTATGTGGGAGGGTTCGACTACTGCACCAAAAAAGTGTGTGTGAGTGTGTGTGTGCATGTGGGGGGGGGGGGGGGCTTTCATTGAAAATTTTTATATTTAATTAACCGCCACAAAAAAATTTCCTTCCAAAAAACGGATACCACGTGCTTTGCTGATTTTTTTTCTTCATATAGTTATTTTTTCAGTAATAAGAAATGTTAGTAATGAAACTGAACATGTGTTATTTTATACATGAATAAACCTCAAATTCAATATGTATAAAAACTTTTATGTGTGATAAAATCATAAATATACGAAATTTTTCCTGTCATGTTTCCTTGAATTACTAACAGCTGACCAACAAGTGTTATTAATTAAATATTAATTAACAGATGAAATTCCAATGATCTCTTGCGAGTTGTCCAACAAATGATAGGTATGGTGATATAGTGGCACATTTCTATCACAGTGCAAAATTTACATTATTTAAGTTATTTTTCTACTGATTGTGTTAACTTGCAAGATATAACTATGTCAACATGCAATTTAGCCATGTTGCCATGCAACGTATAATGTTGAATATAATTCTTTTGATCCCATTTCCCAAGACGGTTTTCATTCATTTTGGGACAAACTTAGCAACTTTTGTGAAAATATATCATAATTTAAAAATGTGCCAACTCTATCAAAGAATTTCTTAACGACCAGAATTCATCTTTTGTATAACATGCTTATGACACAAAGCAGTCTGTGGATTCCACAATTGAGGTGTGCATTTATTTATACAAGGAGATCAACAAATTGTATGTCGGTACTTGGCAAAATTTATTTAGTTATTATGTTTTTGCTGACCTAGCACAGAAATACCCTCTACATGTACAGGCGTCAAGTATTTCTGCAACCAACCATATAATCACCGATACTAATGGAGGGAGGACAGACACGTAAATGTGAACGTACCGCTAATTATGCCAAAACTGGTAACATCGTTTCTGAAAGGGGAGATATAATTCACAACTTACCTGAAGAAAAAATTGATGAGCAAATAAAAGAAATTGTCCAAACTTGAAAATCCTATGTCGGGATGGGGGTGAGTGGGTGGGTTGGGTCTCTGTGTCTGAGAGGGGTGAGCGAACATCTGGGATGGGTCACAAAATTCTTTTTCAATGTTTGGCTAAAACTTTCTTCAACATATAGGCATTATTATAGCCATAATGCGTTTTCTTTCAAATAAGAATGTGCTTCCAGGTGTTTCCGTTTTTGTGGATTGCAATTTTTTTTTTAAAAGATACTCAGTAATCAAAATGGAATTGAATTCTGAATCTTTGATGTTTGCAATTCCATAAGGTTAGGAAATCATCACAGTATCATGTAAATCAGGGGGGAAATTATAACAACATTTAAATGATTATCTTTATTTCAGTATTCTATCAGCATTAATTTAATCAATAACAAAGAATATATTTTAATCATACATTTAAAACTGTTGTCATCTGTTTCTATACACATAAATATTCCTTCAATACATTAATATTCTGTAATTGAATTACTAACACCAATATTATATCCAACAAATGAAATTATGATCAGGTAACATTGTTTCCATAAAAAGACTTGCGTTGCTGGTTATGAAGGACTATCGCATGGAAGTTGATATCAGCAAGTTTATCTGGAAAAAGAATAAAAAAAAAAGAAGATAATAAAATGCGTAATTAAATAATTGAACCTCAATAATGAAAACCTAACTGGTGCACAGTTGTACTTTATGATGCAAGTTATGATCACACTGTTTTAAAGATTTTTTTTCACAAAGGGTCTTGACACTATGAAGGACAGAGATGGTCTCCAAATCCTCAAAATCATGGGAAAAAAAGATGTTTCCATTGAAAAACAAGGAAGATTAACAGGTAAACATGTGCACTCCATCAAGGTGATACAAGTAAAAGTCTTAAAGAGCATACCTAAAGATTAACAAATATGTCTCTTCAATTTGACTCATAACAATTTAAGTAATCTGTTTAATAAATTAAAGAGATGCACAGATGTAGATGACATCCTTGTATCTACTCATCCGTATTGAGCGTGAGGAATAAAAACAATACCTGTTCTGGGCTAGGATTGGCCACAATCTGTTTATCTTCTTCTGTGTAATTTTCTGACAAAATCTGGGACAATTGCTGGAATGCTTGCTGAATGTTTACCTAAAATATCACACATACAAAATAATAATAAATAAATACATCAAAATAGCATCTCCTAATTTTCAAACAAATACCTGTTCTCCATTACACTTAGCATTAAAGGGGCAGGGACCCAGTTGCATTGCTGTTTTGTTTACAATTTTAAATTTCTATTTTTATTTAAAAAGAACTTAGTTTTATGAATTGAACTTACAGGAAAATTCCTCAGATTCTTAAGGCATTAACAGCATTCTTCATAACACTACCTCAAACATTGGTATTTGTAAACGTGGGCACAAGTTCTGTTATTGTTAATGTTTACATTTTACAGGGTGTGTTTGTTTTGCTACAGCTGTACAACTCACTGAACATGAACCAACAATGCTTTTGTGTTAGTTTTGTTTTCTTACATTTCTATTCTCACTTTTCTCATTTTAATATCTTTTATCTATATATCACAAATTTTTCCATTTTTCTTAAATACTAACAAAATTTTTTGTCCAAAAATGTGTACAGATAAAAGAAGTTTATAAACACACCTTTATAATATATAGGTTTGAAATGCTCTAATATGCAAGTTATGATATTATACTGAATTTTTTTTTTAAAATAATAACTTCAAATTTGTGTCAATGCCCCTTTAAGAATACTAGTAAAGTGAAAAGCTTTTAATCATGCCCAATTCATAATTTTGAAAGTAAACATTTTCTTCATGGAATTATACCTACAAAAATTAGTAAAACCTATCATTAAAAGTAAATCAGAATGTAATTCTTAAGTATTTTGCAAAATTTGGCAAAAGTTCTGCACAGAGAACCACACTGTAGTACATTATACCACTAGAACAGAAGCACAAGGGCCCTATTGGTCACCTGAGTATAATACAACCTTGGGCAGAGAAAAAGACTTTCCAAGTGAATTTATGCATTAATTTTCACTATATGATCACTATATAATCAATAAATAGAGCCCAACCCACCTTAGGACCCCTGGCCCTGGGGCCATGAATTTCATAATTTTGGAAAGTACTTAATGCTTTTTACAATCATGCCAACTGTTTGTCTGCTTGATGTCCAGGAGAAAACAAGATTTTTAAAGATTGCATCAATTTTGATGGTTTTATGGTTTTAGCCCCACTTCTAAGGCCCCATGATATCAAGATACTTAAGTTTTCCTGTGTATATATAAGACCTTCATACCTTGATTGGCTTAAAGAGAATGGTTTCTGTATCTCTGTTAGCAAGATACAGCTGCATGCTTTTATGTATGGTGGGCAGACGGGACTTAATGTTTTTGTATGTCTCTGATACAACATCATGTAATTTTTCTGGTGTTGCAAATGGTTGTTGCCGTAGAGTTACGCTTTTGATTCCCTCTTCCTGTTTCATATTTATTACAACAGATGCCTGAAAAATTAAATTAAAAATATTATTCTTGGGTATTAGGTCATGAATCTTAGTAATTAACATTGCTTGTAATGAACTCACTGCAATATTTTATCCCACACATAGAACTGAATCAATGTACAATGTGTACATCTTATTTTAAATAATCTACAGTCTCCAATAATGTCAATGTATGGATCTTAACTAAGTGCTGTATGAATGGATTATAATTAAATTTGCACCAACCCTTGATAGGAATGTTTTAAGTGGTTCTGTAAATGTATCTGACATGTGATGAATAAACTCTTCACATGTAATTTTCAGTTCATAATCCACATCTTTCTTGGAATCCACAAAATGCTCCATTACATGAGGGGTACCCTGAGCAAAAAAAAAAAAAAGAGTCAATTGCTCATTTTGATTTCATTCTGCTTATAATACAAAAATATTAACATTTAAAAAAAAAATCCTTATATAGATAATTGTGGTTATTCTCACATTTTCAAACAAACATCCATTCCGTTTTCTTTAATACTAGTATCAATAGTTTATATCCTAAAAGTATTATTTTTACAGTTTTATTCTGCTTTTTAAAGAGTAAAAATTAAAATGCAAATCAAAACAAACGTTTTCTATAGCTTAAGTTGATTTTTTTTTTAAATGCACTGCATATACAAACCTCTAATATAAAGTGCAGCAGTGAGTTGTTACTGTTAAATGTGAACATCTTTGAACTGTTCTGAATCAAGCCTTTTGCAGCATCTGTAAGCACAGTATATAATTATAATGAAAGACAATCTGAGTATGCCAAAGTTCAATAAAAATTAATTATATATATATTAGTATATCTGATTGTAAATCAGCCATAGATTAGCTTTTAAATATTTTCAAGAATAAACGGTATTAAAAAGTCTGGAATATTCATGTAACATATCATAAATGATTATCGATTGATTTTACAAAAAAAAGTTTGAAATTGCAGTGTCAGTTACCCCAGATAACCCCAGATACAGTTGTTAGACTGCAGCTGTATGTATTTCTTAGCCAAAATTTTCATTCTTTTCTTTAAGAAAAATTTGGACGCTCTCTATAACTTAAAATCTTTCATAAACCTGAGATTACAAAGAATGGAGGATCTTATTTTCAGCTTATGACTGGATTTCTCTATGCAATTCAGCACTTAGCCAGGAATGATCAATACATATATTTCAAACAGTGGATAATATCTGTTGTGTTGCATAAATGTATCACAAATCTCAACAGGTCATGCAATGGACAGAGACCTTGAGAATTAAAGGGAAACAAACCCTGACATGACAGATAAAGGGAGGCAATCCCTGACATACAGATAAAGGGATACAATCCCTGACATTACACATCATGCACTTGTACCCAGTGATATTTCTTTGAGAAAGAACAATGGACAATGGCCAGATATAAATGTACATGTAGTTTATCTAACTGAAATGAACCATACACCAAGGACAACATTTGAAAACATGAATGGGTGATAATGTACCTTTCATTTTGCCAAAGTCTGCAAAAAACTTAAATTATAATCCTAAAAAAATATTTCAGAGTTCCATGACAAATCCAGAAATAGCAATAAATACTTTGAAAGAAGGTTCATTGTTGCTGCTATGAAGAGGTAATACTTGACATATTACAAGGATACATCATATTTTGTGTATTGTTTCACTGTAGTTACTATATGTACCTCAACGAAGATTCCATGCAGTTAACCCAGCATAAATTAAACAAATATTCATACATGTGTTTGTATGTATTTTGTATTTGCTATTTTCACCTTTTAATTTGCTAAAGTCCAGTGATGTTTCTCGAATAGAGAAATCTGTTTGGAATGGAGCTATCTGTTCTCGAAGAATCAACAGGTGTTTTATCAGAAATAGCTGTCCATCCATTAGTGTCTGTCAAAAAATATCAAATTCTGGTACAGTATTCGATTGAGTCATTGAAACTTTCATGCACACAATAAATTATTCATTTACAAGTTTGCATGGAATTGGTTTTCAAAGACAAAACATGTACTGTATATCACACTGTTTCTTATGTTTGCCATAAAAAAAAACTTGCAAACAAACTTGAGTGATACAATTTCTTAATGTTTCTACCTTCCTCTTGGTAATTCCTTCCTTCGCTATTTTTAGGGACTGGATGCAAGACTGCAGGGCTTCCTGGGAGAGTCCTTGAAATGTGGTTTTCTGTAAGAATATTGACATCTCAGATTTTTATAATTTTAAAACCATGTATTTCCAGTGAACATAAGAAATTATCAGTGACACACACTGTAAAATTCTGAATGTGTGATGTTTATCAGATATGTGCAAATGGAGTAGTCCAACATCAGTGTTTAAAAACATAAAATTTTAACATAATCATGGTATTTATGTACCATTTTCATACTTTTTTCTCCTGCTTGTAACAGAAATAATACACATGCATATCAACAAACTTGAACAGTTTCATTTACACATACATGTATTTACATCAATACATCAGATTAGTTATGGCCACTTAAATGAAAAGATTTTGAGAACAAACATACAAAAAGACAGATGGACAAACCAAAATTATATGCCAAATTACAGGTGTTCAATAAACTGTACAGTAACTAACTTCAATCTACTTGCACAGTTACCTACAACAAAACACTTGAACAGTTACCTCAAAACATCTATATAGTTACCCCACTTTAATTCAACATTGTACCTCTAGTTATTTCCACTCCTTTACTGATAATTATAGTAACTTCAATACCCCTGGGGTCCATTTTACAAAAGAACTTACGACTAAGACTAAAAACTTTAGTTGATTGTAAAATCTTATGAAACTTATGTTTCTGTCAAAAATTGTTTGTATAAAAATATTTTTCTAAATTCTTTTCAAAAAAATTAAAACTATTTTCAAAGTAATGCAAAAAAGAAAGTTTTTTGCATAACAACATTTTGATCTTAGTCATAAGTTCTTTTGTAAAAAGGGGCCTGGACTATTATTTAAATCAAAACAGCTATAGATGTACTTATATGTACATCAATACACCTGCAGAGTTACTTACATCAATACACCTGTATAGTTTGGACAGAGTGACCAGTCTCCTCCTGACTGTAGTATAACACCTGTACAGTTACTTACATCAATACACCTGTACAGTAACTTACTTCAATACACCTGTACAGTTCCTTACATCAAAACACCTGTACATTTACATCAATACACCTGTACAGTTCCCTACATCAATACACCTGTACAGTTACTTACATCAATACACCTGTACAGTAACTTACATCAATACACCTGTACAGTTACTTACTTCAATACACCTGTACAGTTACTTACTTTAATACACCTGTACAGTTACTTACTTCAATACACCTGTATAGTTACTTACTTTAATACACCTGTATATTTACTTACATCAATACACCTGTACAGTTACTTACATCAATACACCTGTACAGATACTTCAATACACCTGTACAGTTACTTACATCAATACACCTGTACAGTTACTTACTTCAATACACCTGTACAGTTACTTACAGTACTTTAATACACCTGTACATTTACTTACATCAATATACCTATACAGTTACTTACATCAATACACCTGTATAGTTACTTACATCAATACACCTGTACAGTTACTTACATCAATACACCTGTACAGTTTGGACAGAGTGACCAGTGTTCTCCTCACTGTGGGATACCACATTCCATGGAGGTCAGCTGGAGACATTGGCATTGTACTAGTGAGACTCTTCATTTCTATAGCAAATATAAAAGTTAACTGAATTAATTTACACTTTATAATTATTCTTTTAAACTACATGAATGATCCATTTATGTATGATCTCCATTTCTATAATCTTTTGCGAAGTTATTTTTTAATTAATATGGACTTCTTGGATTTAAATTCTAAATTTACAAATTAACCTGAATTCTGAAAGTTATAAAGAAATATGAATGTTATGAGATGTCTTTTCCAGAGTTGTCAAAATTTTAAAATTTATACTGTCAGACATTTGATCTAACAAAGTCAAAGGTCCTGTCAGACTGGACAAAGTTTTGTCAGACCAGATATATGCATCTTTTTTTGTACAGAAAGGAAAATAAATAATTGCACCAAAATCCCCTTTAGCATTTGATCTCACAATTTTCTTTCTTAGGACAGTCTGTAATCAGAGACATAAATAACGATTTACAAATGAATATCTCTGCTTTAACAAATTTGATTGAATGTCACCACGCAGCCATCTGTGCTGTTTTTGTGACCTTCACCTGCACACCCAGATCCTGATCTTTTAAATATTTGCATCATCCCATTTTTTTCAAACTGATATTTGGACTGACATTTTCTTGTAAGTTACTGACCTTGCCAAGAGGACCAATGGTTTTCGACAACTCCGCTTTTTTCAGTATAAATTTTTGAATCAAGTTATGAATGACCGAACCTTTAAAGTTTGGTTAACCTTCAAGTTTTCAGTACCGGTAACTTTTTTCATGATAGACATGCACTGGTATCTGTATTGGAGTTAAACAAATAACTTATTTTAGCCATATGCTCTTCACACTGTGTATGGCTCTATTTGCCAAGAGATTGTTATATGACTTTTGAGTAACAATGAATACCTGCTGGGTCTGCCTGATTTTTTCCTGCTTCAGTAAGTTCAGCCACCTCTTGACTGGTGCTCGATGCATTGGAGGGGGACCTGGAGTGACCCTTTAGAGAGGAAGAGGAAGGAGTTCGGGTGTGTCCCTTAGTCTCCCCTGCTTTAATGCTCTCAGCAATACTCTGAAAAACAGGTATAATAAATAAATCTAAATGATCAGTTCTCTAATTGATTATACAACTTGTTCATGCAAGATGGAGAAATATGTTGTAGTAATATTTTTCTGCTTTTGAGTTTAAAAATATCTTTAGAACTACTGTAAACCAACTATTACTTGTGACAAATTTTATTGCCGATTTGTCTCTTTAAAATTCATCTGCAACTGTTTATTTTTGTGAGGAAACATTCTTCATAAAAATACAATTATGTGAATGGTTTGGGGTGAAAAATATTTGAAAGCAAAAGAAAGTTGTAAAAGTCATGGATATTTCTTGCACAATAATAAAAGTAAGTTTACCATATTGGAGTCTACTATTACAACTTATTTGATGTTCTAAGGTTCTTATTTGATGTTTTAAGGTTCTTATTTGATGTTCTAAGGTTCTTACTTGATGTTTTAAGGTTCTTATTTGATGTTTTAAGGTTCTTATTTGATGTTCTAAGGTTCTTATTTGATGTTTTAAGGTTCTTATTTGATGTTCTAAGGTTCTTATTTGATGTTCTAAGGTTCTTACTTGATGTTCTAAGGTTCTTATTTGATGTTCTAAGGTTCTTAAGAAAAGTATTCTTGCTGTTATTCTACCTTAAAGTTGTAGTGTAAAAAATCAGCATCTATACCTGCATCATCTCCAGCTTTTCAGGGTAAGCTAGGTCTCCTTGTGCAGCAGAATACTGCAGGATGTCGGAGCGTATGTAAATATAAGTTCTGTACACAAGGCGCTCCTGCATGTCCATCAACATCTGACGACAGACATTACCAAATGATGACAATTCTTGAGCTAAAATGAAAAGACTTACCAGTAATTACTTCTTTTAGAAATTTTTTTTTGTTAATTTTTCAAAATATTTACATAAAATGTTAGGAATAAATTTACTGTATTTTGTGTGAAGATAGATTCATTACCATATGCTTGTGCATGCTCTTCCAACATTTCAACTTTCATAATGGAACACAGTTCAGCTAAGGTTTCTAGATGGTTGACGTGAATGATCAGTGGCCGAAAGACATCGTAAAGGTTGTTGCACAGTCTTTCCAACATTTCGCTATTAGTACATGTATCAACAATATCTTGCTATTAGTACATATACATGTATCAACAATTGTTAAAGTAAGATTGCAGAAAATGCAAAATGATCCCCCCTTCGAAATTTAAAAAATAAATACACAAATGTATTTCTTAGCATATAGCAATTTCTTTATCACCCCTATTTGTTTGGGATCTGGATTATCAGAAAATTTAGAGACTTTTTCATTAAAATTTCCTTGATCTGCCCATCAAAGTCTTTGAAGTTGATTCCAGGAAATGAAATATCAAAATATCTTTACACTGCATGCTTACTAGATGATTTTACTTCAAAATTGAGAAAAATCTAATTCATTTGAAATGAATTTTACACATTCAGTCAAATAAAGTTGATGTTAAATGATGCATGAGTACTCACTCCAGAAGAGGAGAGTGCCTTGTGAAGAAATTATAGTACAGCTGGTACTCATCCTCACAGACATGGACCATAAAGGCACAGCCACTTCTCATCTGAAATGAAATAAGTACAAAACAACATAAAGGCACAACCACTTCTCATCTGAAATGAAATAAGTACAAAACAACATAAAGGCACAACCACTTCTCATCTGAAATAAGTACAAAACAAGTGAAAAAAAAGCCAGTTGGGTTAGCTATCATGTTAAATAATTTGCAAATCTTTTGTGATAATTTAAAAGCATACTTAAAGGTGCTTAGACACAGATTTGAACTTAATATTTTCTCAGATTTTCTGTATAATTTCACAGCTTAAATATACCAATAGCATTTCACACGAAAATATAATTAAAAACTTATTTTATCTGGAAATTATTGGAACTACGAATTCCGGGACGCGTTTGATTAACACATCTTTGCACTTGCACAAAATTTAACTTTATCCTTAATATTTAAGAAAAGAAGCGATTTTGTTATGTATTAATGAAAAATATTACATCTATAATCCAGAAAATTCAGAGTAGAAATGTTCGAAAGCAAAACCAACTCAGCAGTATTGTCAGTCCGTGCTCTGTGATGTGTACAGAGTTTAACAAATTGAACACACCCGTGAAACGTAAACTGTTTCTGCAAACAGGACACGAGCTCTGTTATTGTTAATGCTTACGATTCACCGGGTGTGTTCAATTGTTAAAGTTTGCACACACCACTGAGCACGGACTTACAATACTGTGAGTGGGTTTTGCTTTCAAACATCTCTACTTTGAATTGTCTGGTTTATAGTTTTAAGTATTAAGAATAGAATTAAAGTATGTGAAAGCACAAGGATGTGTCAATACAACGCATCCAGAACTTTGAAGTTTTAATAACTTCGAGATGAAAAAAGATTTTTCTTATATTTTAATATGAAATGCTATAGCAACATATAAGTCATGAAATTATACAGAAAATTTGAGAAAATATTAACTTCAAATCTGTGTCCAAGCACCTTTAAAGTCAAATTCAAATACATGTATACACAGTTATATGTATCTATACATCATTAAACAACATTTTACGACAGTATTTGAAAGTTAAATATTCTTATCAGTTCAAATTTTCCTGGAATACTCACATACTTTGGATTTTGAACAGAAATAAATTTCTTCCTCTTTATTTTTCTTACAGTCTTGCTACATATTATTTACAGTTTATATACATGAACTACTGTAAATCACTTTTTTTATTTGCAAGAAAAATATTTTAGCATATTTACTTGAGACCGTCTGTTCCCAAAAATTGCATTCTCATGTATATTTTTCTTATTAAGATTATATACAACAACCATTGTCCATGAAAATTTTGTCTTGCTTATAAATGCCAAATACCTTTCTCACAAAAATAGGGTGTCGCAAAAATTTGGTGATATACATGTACACTACATGTATTAACAGCCCATATACAATTTACATTTAGCAATGAGACATACAGGTTTAGATATTTTTACAGCATTCAGATACTGTTTGCATTTAGTAATGATATATAAATATACCACTAACAATTTAAATATGACAGTATACACAGCATTGATACTGTTTACATTACAATTCCGGTATTGTTTGGGGTATTGTTTACAGTTTGAGTATAGTTTACAGTTTGGGTATAGTTTTCAGTTTGGGTATTGTTTACAGTTTGGGTATAGTTTTCAATTTGGGTATCATTTATAGTTTGGGTATTGTTACAGTTTTGGGCACTGTACCGATTTGGAATTGTTTACAGCTTGGGTGCTGTTTACAGTTTCAGTTTTCTTTACTGTTTTCAGTACTCACCAGAGCACAGTGATCTCGAGCATGTTTTGTAGCCAGGTCATTAATAGTAGAACTAATGCTGGGTCCTAGGAGCTGTTCTCGCTGAGTGAAGTAACACTGCTGGCAGTCCACTAGTGCCTGATTATATCTGATATAAAATTTGACAAGATATCACAAACTATCTCTCAGAATGATCAATGGATTATTATCCCCAGGATCAAAATAATGTCATCTTACACTGGAAAATGGTTTCCCCTAAATGCACTGTACATAGGTGTCACTTAAAAGACCATTTTGTACAGCATGGAGAAAACAAAACCCTTGTATCCCAGTAAAATTAAGTTCATTTATTTATGTAACATAGGCAGTTCTTCATCTTCACTTTCTGTTTATATCATGTTTTAATGTTTATCTTATTTTGTAAACTTACTCAGGACTTTTATCCAACCGAATTTCTAACTGTTCTACAAGAGCTTTTACTCGAGGTGCATTAGCTCGAAATTTTCCATAAAACAAAGTAAATGCATTGTCACCAAGCTGGGTAGTATCCTATAAAAAGAAACATTCATACAATTATATACTATAATTTTAGAACTATTGAATAATAAATCTACAGTTAAACTTTGGTTTCTCAAACACCTATCTCTTAAATACCATGGATATGTCAAAGTGATTTGGAAGTCCCAACAACTTATTATTTATGTATTTTACCCTTGATATCTCGAATCCTTGGATATCTCGAAGTTTTTTCTTGATCCCCTTGAGTTCAAGATAACGAGGTTTTACTGTATTTAAGTACATGAAAAAATCATCAATATTTACAGAAGCATAGAAAACTTTTTCATTGGATTACTTTACAGCCATACCTATAAACATATATCTGACCTTTTTCTCCTGCACTTGTCTGGTTGCAGATTGAAGAATGTTGATGACATGTGACTTCATGAGATTCAGAGCTCGAGATAAACACTGGTTTAGTCTCGCCAGGTATGTCTGGGACTCCTTGTAATTTGGCTGTAAGACAATCCAGTAAACTTTGAACTTCAGTATCTTAAACATTGATATCTTAAATAACATGGATAGGATAAAGTAAGTTGGAAGTCCCAACCACTTCTTCTTTAGTGTATTATAACCTCAATATCTCAAATCCATGGATATATTGAAGTATTTTCTCAGCCCAATGGAGTTCAAGAGAGCAAGATTATGTTTATGTAACTAAATTCATATTTACAAACTACACAGTAATGTAGATACATGTATATTCTGGCTATACTTACATTATTCTTCAGATAAAGAATGCATTCATCTAGTCTAGACAACATTGGAACAAAGGATTCATTTGTCACCATCAATGTTGGAGAGGCCAATTTCTAAAGCAAGAAAATAATTATATAGATACCATAATAACACACATTCCGAATATATTGTTACTTTCACGACGTTATTCATTTCATCACAAAGTTCAATATGCTATGCAAGAAGAAAATTTTGAAGGGATTATTATTATTTTTTTTGGTTTAATTTCAGTACTCTTTTAAAGATATAATTCTTTGAACCTTAAACAATAAAATAAGTTTAAAAACTAACATTGTTTTGAGCTAACATCAGCTGGTTAAAAACTGACTACATATACATTTTAATACAAGCATGCATTATTCCAAATTCCCATTATTGAGTATATGACATATTCAACTTACACTGGAGATCCTGTCCAACTCGTTGTAATATGAGAGTTTATTACTGATATTCTCAGCTGTGTTCATCAATCTTGTCTGAAAAAAGAACACTTTGTAGAAAAATCTAAATCAATTATGCATTTAGCCTCATGTTTATGTGTACAGTGCAAATAATTCAAGATGGTCAAACAGAAATAATCAATTTTACATTATATTTATTAAATTCTGTCACTTTTCATCTTAAAATAAGAATACTAGTATTGAATTCACCTGTTCAGCCAGCAGATGCTCACAAGCATCATGAAGTGCATTGGTCTTAGTAGATACACTAATATACTGCTTCTGTAATCCTGCTAAATAGGTCAAGGCCGTAGTTACCTCCCCTAGTACTCCGTCACATTGATCCTGGTACCCCTGTAACTCTTCTATATAATGTCTGAAATGTCAAAAGTGCTTTACTTCAATTAAATGCACACATAAGGGCCAGTGCACATGGTAAGGCTTGCCTTATAAGTCTAAAACCTTATCTTTTTTGTAGGCCGAACAACTCTTGTCCACAAGCAAAGGCAAGACTTACAAGATTATAAACAATATTTCCATAAATTCCATGTATTTTTCAGCCATAAGCGGGTATTCAGTCATTAAAATAGAAGACTAGATTTATACTAGGGCTTTGTAATAATTTTACTGGCAAGTAGTTTATGTTCACTTCGATCTACCCATGTGTATGGTTTGATAAAAAATAGATTGACACTTGGGCGAATGGTTTTCCTTGGTTGAGAAGAAAATGTCAGATAAGTCTTGTATTCAGAAAAAGAGCAGTGCTCTATTCGTAAGCTTGTAAGGTGCAAAAAAAATGTATTAAAGGTGCACACATGGTACGGCTAGAACTTAAGTTCCAAGACTTATAATGCAAGCCTTACTGTGTGTACCAGTCCTAAAACATGTAACTATGTACATTATATAGGAATATTTAAAAAAAATTGTCTTGATGGGACTCTGCATAATCAACACTTTTAGAAATGGATCAAGAAAGAAAATTTCTAATATTACTATAATGTTTTCTTAACAACTTACAACATGAAATATATTGCATATTGGCGCAACCTCACCTGTATGGTGCTTCTTCTTCTTTCTCCATGTCTCTTTCCAAATCAGAGTACCAGGATAAAAACTGCATTAAATAATTGAAACTCAATGAAATTTTCCTGACTATTGCCTGCAATATTAAATTTCCCCCTTTTAGCTACTTGTTTACCCAGGTTATTTATTCTTGTGGTCATATTACCATTTGTGCTGTTTCAGCCTTTTCGGGTGGAGCATTTTTCTGGAATTCTTCACTTAGACTTGTGTCTTGGCTTATTTCTTTTGTTTGATGAGATATTACAGAATGTCCATCTTCCTCTGGCAGCTGATGATAAAAATGAGTTAATGTTTATGAAAAAGACTGTACGTTAAAGAAAATACTCTGCAAGATACAAAGAATGAAACACTGGTCGAGGAGAAAAGATGAGGGGCATAAAAATGAAGCAATGATAAAGGGTGGAAAATCGATTGATCTGTGAAATATAATGTAAGAGCTCAGAAATCATGCATTTTCATCACAAACTGTACAAACTTAAGACAGGAAATAAAATATACAATGTTTAGTTGACAGACTTAAAAGCAAAGACAAATGCTAAGTTTGACACGTCTTACGTCTGTCGGAATTCGTCTCTCATTCACTACTGACGATAATTGTATGCACACGTCCTTTTGTTTTACCGACAAGGTCGTCAGTGGGTTGTTCCGTGACTCCCAATTAGCTAATCTGTCTCTAAGAAGGCGTTTATTCATCTTCGACATTTTCTCCAACGTTTACGTTTCATTTCTTACTTTCGGAACACAAAAGAGAAAGTAGAGACTCGGTTTCAAATCACGTAAAAATTAAAGTTCTGATAATGTTGGAAACTCAATAATGCACCATGATAAGAGGTTTCCAATTTATTAAATCATAATACCTAACACTTAAGAAATTAAAAAAAAATTCAGTGTTTAGAATAAAATATATGAAAGATGGATGAGCTTATTGAATCTAAGTGCAGAATGTACACAATTGGGAGTTGAATACCCCCCCCCCCCCCACCCACCCACCCAAAGGAAAAACTGTGGGTCCAAATTGGTTGAATAAATATTCTATTCTATCTATCCTAAATTAATAATTATGTAGTCAACATTTGTTCTAATGATCCACAAATAATGATTCATGGTACTTTATTCATGTAATATTGTCTATACATGTACATGTATTGTACTTCATAACTCAGACCCTATGATTCACCCTTCATGATTGTCAGTTTCACAATGTCCAAAATATGCATCTACAAAAATTTGAAAATGAATAGCTTATAAATTCAAATAGTAGGTCATTGGGACCTGCTTTTGGGTAAATGTATACCTAGGCTTCAAGATGCTCAACTGGCAAAAAAAAAGGTTAACCATTTGATGATCATTATATAAGCTAGGGTCTCCTATGTTTTATAGCTAGCCTAGTCAAAAAGCTTGAAAATCAAGTGTTTGAATTCAAAAAGTAGGTCACTATGACATACTTGTCAATTGAAACAACCCCAGGATGCATAATCTTTTTAGGCTCTTTGACTATATATATAGGGCATAGTGTTCAAAATATTTAGGCAAAAATCCGCACAAATGGTCATAGCAAATTTAATTAGCTCTATGGTTCTGAAAAGCTATACATATACCAGTAGATACAATAGCCTTTGGTACCAAATTGCATCCAGCTATATAAACTATTGGGCATTCCTTTTTTTTTTTTTAATTATTATAAGTATATAATACCCATTTTTCACCACTTGAAACTACATTGAAACTATATATACAAGGACATTTTCCAAAAATAAAATAAAAACTACAAGTTATATGTGCACACATACCATAAATAATATTTTTCAAGAGGAAAGCAGACTGTTTTAAACAATTTATTTTCATCATTGTAAAAGAATACACATATAATCAACAACTCACTGACTTTGCAAAATGTATATGGATATTGCACATTACAATCATGCATGGGCTTTACATTTCTAATTCATGAGGGCAAAAAAATTAAATGAAATGTATATGCATTTGACAACTTAGTTAAAATCTAAGGTATTAAAATGCTTTTTAATAGTTTTTATGTCACATTTTGTGATCCAATTTATTGGAATCGTTTGGCACAATGGATACAGTAAAGCATAGCCCAATGATGCCTAATCTTGATCAGCATTATGTCCCCTTGCTTTTCAAATCTAGTATCACCGCGATGATTTTGATGTTGTTAAGATGTGATTCCTGTATTGTAAGCTGAGTCCTTGCATCCAGAATTTCAAAAGGGGTGTGTCTTCCTCTTTTGCACCAATCACTTGAAGGAGTTTCTTTGTGTCTTCCTCAGATCTACTTCCACCTGCTTTTGTGAACTTGAATCGAACTTTCACTTTACTGTAAAGAAAAGTTTCTTTAAATTATATGAACATGTAGTATTATATAAATATTCACGTACAATAATCTCTATTGCTTTAGTCAGCAACTATTACACCAATACTTGAATATGTGTATTCAAATTTTACTTGTCAACAGATCTAAATCTGAATGTGCAATATAACATACTGCAAAATGTTACATAATGTAGATTACTGTATTCAATGTATAATTTCATGAGATGCATCACTAGCTAAACAAGCATTCTGAGAGTATTGCATTAGCAATACTAGTCCCCTACCGACAAGTGTAATCTGGTTCCCGTTAAAAATTGAAAATGCCATAATTCCATCAAAAATCAATGAAGTGGAACGAAATGCATACTTGATCTATAACTCATCAAGGTAAAGTCACATAAAAGTCAGCTCATTATCTGCAAGTGTTTAGAAAAAAATTGCAGAAAACTCTGAAAAATTGAAAAGGTCGTAATTCTGTCAGAAATCACTGAAGCGGAATGAAATGCAAATTTGATCTGTAACTCATCAAGATACACTCACATACCAAAAATCGGCTCAATATCTGCAAGCGTTTAGAAAAAGAGTGCGGAAAACAAAGTGGGACAGACTGACAGACAGACAGAGGGACAGCTAGACAGACAGACGGATGGACAGACTCAGAGGAAACCTATAGTCCCCTCCGGTTTCATCGGTAGGGGACTAATAAAATTAGTTGCTATTAATTATATATTGCCGATAACATGTAAAACTTCTTGATCAGCAGTACACTTGAGAAGTATCACAATATTTATAAGTACTTGCGTAAAATAAGGAATCTACTGTAATATTGTATTTCAAGTCTAATCTTAAATACTTACTTCATCCATTCTTCCTTGAGACAGATGAGATAATGTTCCACCACAGTGTCTGTAAGATCGTTGTTCTGAATGGCAAGTTCCATTTTGTACAAAGCACTGGGAGCTGAAAAATATGAATATCATTAACATCTGGTATACTGCTACAGCCCCTAACTGGCAAGACTGCCAAAGACCTGGCCCCAAGACCATAAACTGAGAACAGACTTAAGTCAAAATTTCAAATCCACATAACTTTTGAAATAATTTTGATAACAGAACAAAATTTCATCATATGTTTATACTGGAATGTTACAAAAACCTGCAAAATTTTAAGTATGTATGTTAAATAAAACTCAAGATATTCAAAATCAAAATATTGACTTAAGTCTGTTCTCAGTTTATGGTCTCAAAGCCTGGTCTCTCATTCTTACACAATTGTTTTGTCTCCCTTGTGTTTTCACCCTGCATAAAATTCACTCTAAAACCATAGTTTAAAATTGAAATAGTGAAAGTGAAAAAATCCCTCAAGCAATGAAACCAAGCAGAATTCATTCATGAGAATTTCTTATTTTCAAACTTAAACCTAAAATTCATACATCATCTTAATACATGTCCTGAAGACAAAATCTGTAAATATAATTCATAATATTTTTAAAGCATTCTACATCAATCCAAAGCAGACCTTTGTCTGGTAAAGTTCTGGGACTGGCCATGTTGAAATCAAGCCTGTTGAGCAGATCTTTCTCTTCTCCCGACTGTGTGTCTGTTGAAGTCTGTTCACTGATTTCTACCAGTACGAATGTCTCATCTGACATGATGTGCATGGGAAGATCTACCTCTGGAGGCAGGCCAAGGAAGTTACACTTCCAGGATTCTTCATAAACAGGGCTGTATGGAATCACTCTACAGCATCCCTTTGGAAGTAGGCTCTGCAACAATTAGCAACACATCTCTGTTATAGTTTAAATATATTTATTTATTTGAAGTTTAATATCTATAGTAAATACCACCTATAACAGATTTGGTCACCCAATATTTCAAGTGAAATTTTCAATTGGATACCTGTACATGTAGTAAATAATGGATGTAATTAAGTAATTTTGGCTGTCTAAAATTTGCTTCATCTTTGCATTGCTTCATAAAGTTACAATACAGAGTAAGGAAAACTGGCCATACTTGTTATACAGCTAGAGCATCTGAATTGCTTTTACTGATTTAATAGTAATAAAAAATGTACTAGTATACAAAATCAAAAATTTCTTACCTTGAGTACATTTAGGAGAGATTTGACAACAGACTTCAGAGAGCTCCGAACTATGATCTGGTTGCCAATAACAACATGATGTGCCAGAACATGGAATTTATCTTCACCTAAAATCTACAATGTACATCAAAATTTAACAACCCTATGAGTTACTTGAGTACACCTGATTTACGGGTTTTATCCAGTATGTGCATATATTGCTTATACCTTCAGTTCTTGGCCAAACTTTGTTGACTAGTTTTATATTCACTATAGTATCTATACTTTTTAAAAGCATGTATAATCACTGTGAATCCATATAAATCTGGTTTTTCTATAGATCATTCTTTTTATGCTTCTGGATTTTATTTTTATAAGTGCCTTTTAACCTGCTTGCAAAGAATTTTCCCAAATAGCAGTTCAAGACATAAACATAATCAAACCTTCATTAGATGTCTGATGTTTAATATGACGGGTCCCTCCTCCTCCCCCTCCTCTACCTCCAGGCGCTCAGACACCTCTTTACTGGAACTATCTTCTACTTCCTCTATATTGACTTTCTTACTGAAAATCAGGCAAAAACCTTCCTCTGTCTCTGTAAGAGATATTCTTGTTTGACAATCATGTATTGGATTCTATAGTAATTGCAAAATTAAATTTCTACAAAATGGTAATATATTTTAATTCAACGAAGGATAAAACCATTTTTACTGTAAATAAAGTAAAAATTGTCTGCCAAAAATGAGTGCTATAAATAAATTTTTGACTGAAGTATTGAAATACATACGTATTTTAAAAAGAAAGCGCATACCTTCTTGTTTTTCCATATCTATGATGGAGTCCTCAGTTGGAGGTCCTTCTAACAGAGTCTCAGTTATACGATTACCACAAGCTTTCAGAATCCACACAAAGGACAAATGCAGGATCTTAAAGATGTTTCTATCATCAGTCAAGTCCATCAATGACCTTGCAGGTTTACTCCATCGTGAAGTTTGTGGGGGGTGCTGGTGAATTTTTGCTTTTTCCCTCTCATATACAATGTTAGCTTTCTTTGTAATGTGTTCTATGACAGTTTTTAGATGGGGAACAAGAAAAGGCCAGGAATTAAGGAGGTAAATTTTGTCCATCATGACCACTAGTATGCTGTATCGCTGGCTAAATCCTCTAGCTTGACTGTCATTTATGTGAAATGTGTAACTCAAAACATGCCCCTGCTGATCATTTCCAAAGAAAATTGGTCCATCATTTCCTGGACAAACCTAAAAATTAATGAACATAATGCATTCAACCACTGCAAAAAAATATGTGAAGAGCTGTGTATATAATACAAACAATTGATTGCAAATTAAATTAAAACCTAATTATTTCTCTCTTTCTAGAAATCATGAAAGGGATGGTGACAAACCTCCCCTGTAAGTGACCGTAAACAAGCTTGTCGACTCATGCTATAAACTTCTCTGTCGTAAGGCTGTTTACTGCTGATATAGTTTACTTGAGCATCTTCATCTCTGCTTATAAATCCTGTCTTGACAGAGGAACATCCCTAAAAAATAAGGAGGCATGGTTAAAAATTACTACAACTTAAAAGGTCCTTTACAAAATAAAAGATGAATAAATAAGATTCCTAAAGTAGAGAGCCGATAAAATTTCATATTTAGCTGCTGTCTCTATATTTTCTAAGAGTGATACTTCATAGAACATTATACTTTATTATTTTTTATTTTGAAAACAAACCAAAAAAACCCATTATACATAAAACCCACCTTTCTTTAACATTTATGCAACTCTAATCAATCAATTTTTAATTTAATATACATACCCCACAAAAGTCATTTTTTGGAGTGGCTGAGGTTGGTGTAGTGGGTTCATTTGTGATAGATGATGAGCGGACAAGACGCCCTCCTGTTACAGTGTCATCTGAGTCAGTGGAGGTTGTTCTCTCTAGAGGGTGAAGAGGCTGGGTACAAAACAAAACCTGGGGGCCGTGTACTTCACAAAAGTGGCAGAGGGATATTATGGCATTCATGGTTTGGGTGGATTGATATTCTGCAACTACTTCTGCACAAAAAAATTAACATGTAATGGAGTTTGATTTAAAAAAAAAATAATATAATGAATAATGAAATAATTAAAACATGCCAAAATATATCCCAGGATATACTCCTCAAAGCACTGACAATGAACAATAATATTATAATAATACATTATAAAGCTCTCAAAACAAACGAGTTTTAAAGAGGTAGACACTTACATGCACGTGAATTCGGTTGTTTAGAAACATTAAAATATTGACGGTGTCATTTCACATTGTCACAAATAAAAACCAATGAAACGTGATTATGACAAACAGGGAAGAGCACCATGTTTACATCATGTGACTATTTGTGACTCATAATAAATCAGAGGTTATGATTAGTTAATGATGTTAGATTTTATCCAATCATTGGCCATCTTCTTTCAGTATCGGGTTCGACCAAAACACGACGGTTTGTTGATAAATGGCGGCATTATTTCAACCGGAAAGATAAAGTTCTGAAGACAGGTATGCATTATGCAGACACAAACAACTTTGATTGTTTTTATCATTCAGATGATAAGTACTTTCTAAGAAATCAATTGATTGCATAATCGCTTCATTATTTAGATGACACGTGTTTGAAAGATACATGTGTGGACATGCAAAAGCAGCCAGCATAAGAAAGGCCTTTGTTATTTTTCATTTTGCAGATGTTTAGGGTCCTGCAGTAAGTAAGATTATTTATTCTGAGTAACTGAACAAGAAAAATAAATATCCTAGGGCCTATATGTTTTTTGGATCACGTTGATAGGCCACTTGATGACAGGCTAATCAGCCGTCAATAATGAATAATTATCCTGTAAATAAGTTACCCTGATAAAATTTATAAATCGGAAATAATTGAGATGAGAACAGATGCCTGTTCAACAGAGCGAGCACTCACGAACATTTCTTTTGGAGGGATAAGGAATTTTGGCGAGCGCTGGAGAACGTTCGCTCTATTGAAGAGCCCTCTGTATAGTTAGAATAATCTGTGTCTTGGGACAAGCCCTCACCACAGTTAGAATACGTTCCATATACTTGCAATGTAGCAAATTGGAGTGGATCCACTCTGAAATGATTTTGAAGTATACAATAGGAGTTGCACTGAAAATAACTACCAAATTAATCATAACAATTTTTTTTGAGATTGTATATGCCTTTTAACCAAAAAAATAATCCATATAAAGATGAAAATTCAACTCATTTTCTCAACGTTTTTTCTCGCTTCAAATTTACACGCCATGTGGACATTTTGAACTCTCTGGATTGATCATAGTATAAGCACTGAGTTCGAGTCATCGCCTGTTTTTATTTCGCTACATTGCAAATACATGGAACGAATTCTATCGTTAAACTGGGTCCATAGGACAATGTCATTTTAACGATAGAACGTTCTATCTAAGGCCTCTGGAGTTGGCAATTTTATTAATAAAGTGAAAATGAATGAGAGTTATCAATTCTACCAATAAGCTTTGCAAGCATAGCTATGTTTGCGAAGCTCAGTGTTAGGATTTGTACTGTTTTCTCATTTATTTTCACTCAATTTAATAAAATTGCCGACTCCTGTGGAATGAGAGAACTTGAACACTTTCATTTATTAAAAATAAAGGCTAGTTTATGAATTGGGAAAATTTTGGAAGAATTATATATCTAAGTCTGAGAGCTGTGTGTCAAAGCTCAAAATGTCACCTAACGTGCTCCAATCTAAATTAGACCTTTTATCTCACTCTTTGTTTATCTATGTCATCTGTCACAAGCGACAAATAGATAATGAAGAATGGGAGGAAAGCTCTAATTTCAAATAGATTTACAAGTGCTCCAACATATTCCTTTACTGTTTCTACACCTGATTTTTTTTTCTAAGCTTCGTATTCTGTTATTTCTTAAGTTATATTTTATTAGTGAGAAGTAAACTTAAAAGACTGATGAAAAGTTTTTTCCCAGTGATCATAAGTTAAAATGCATTAATATTTCAATCCAGTAAATGTTCATTTGGACAGGTAGGGGTTCTCCCATTCATATGTCTGAACGACTGACACAAATTTTCCTTCTTTTTCTTGATACTACTCTTACATGCATTAAGAACATCTTAAGATACATGTCCTTTGGATATTAAAGGCATATGACTAGTTTTCTTGTTTAAACACTTTACTTTGGTTTAATCCTTTTTGTATATTTTAAATTCGATTCAATGCTTGCATTTTGAATTTGTTGCTGTTGGTATTTATGAAGTGCATGCATTGAGTAAACTCCGATAAAAGGTCTCAAGAAGACCATATACTGAGAAAAGACGAGTCAAGATTTTGTTGATTCTGAATACTGTAAATCACTTTTTATTAACGAGAACTTTATTTTCACGTAATATGATAGTCTGTCTGCTCGCGAAAATTTTATTCTCGCGCATATTTGTATTAAGGATTATATACAACAAAAACCATAGCTCTTGAAAATTTTATCTTGCTAGTAAATACCAAATAGCTATCTTGCAAAAATAAGGTGTCGCGAAAATATTGTGATCTACATTATATTGATTTTTATTTCATGTATGTGATTAAAAAAATGCGGGTTTTTAAAATATTACAAAACAAATACATACACAATGAAAATGTTCTTTGATTATTTAAATTACCTCAAAAGTGGACTTGAAGCCAGGGGTGTAGCTTAGCTAATCTTGTTCAAAATATGAACCATATGACATATGGTTTACAGTGGCGGATTCAGGGGGGATGGGATGGGGTTCGGGACAGATTTTTCTATTTTCTTCTTCAATAAAAAGGTTTGACAAGCAAAAAACAAACAAACAAAACAAAACAAAATGCCTAAACTCAAAAATTCTATTTTGGGGTGGTGGGGGTAGTAGAAGCAGTCAAGGACAGATTATTCTTTTCTTGCCAGTTGAGGACAGGTAATTTATTTATTTATTTATTTTCAACGACAGATTATTTATTTTCAAAATCTGCCAGAAACAAACACAGTCTTTTGTTTTTTTTCAGTCAGGGAGTTGGTATCCAAATGAAAATTTGATGAAAATTTATATATAGCAAAATAATGCCCTCGAAATTGAATTATTAAATCTTTTTGTCCCTCACTTTTGTGAAAGTGAAGGGACATTAAATTTCATTCATCTGTGACAAGACCTTTCCAAATTATACCATGATGTTTGACCACATGACCTTGACCTTGAAGTTTAATTGACCTACTTTTCAAAAATTTTAACAATACATTTGATTTGGTCCTAACTTTTGAATAGAAGAGATACAGCTTTCATATTTACTTTACCTGTGACAAAACCTTTCCAAATTTACTTTGATTTTTGACCCTGTGACCTTGACCTTGAAGTTTGACCTCCTTTTCAAAAATTTTAACATTGGTTATAACTTTTGTATGAGAGAAGATAGGGCATTCATATTTGACACGTGCATTACCTGCGACAAGACATTTCTGAACATGCTATTATTTGACCCAGCAACCTTGACGTTTAACCTTATTTTCAAAAATTTTAGCATTTTAATAACTTTTTGAATGAGAAAAGATAGGGCATTCATAATTATTGACATGTGCATTCCTGTGACAAGACATTTCCAAATGTACTATGATTTTTAATCCCTCTCCTTTACCTTGAAAATTGACCTAATTTCAAAATATTTTAACATTGCTAACTTTTGAATTAGAAAGGATAGAGCATTTTTATTTGACATGTGCATTACCTGTTTCAAGACCATTACGAACATACTCGGTTTTTGACTCATGACCTTAACCTTAAAGTTAAACTACAGTGTTTTTCAAATTTTTTTTTACATTGGTAATAACATTTGAATGAGAATGGATGAGGCTTTCATATTTTACATGTACATCACCTGTGATACCCCATTCAGAAAGATATATCATTTTTGACTCATGACCTTGACCTAGAAGTTCGACCTACTTATCAAAAATTTTAACTTTGCCTGTAACTTTTACTCCAGAAGGGATGGGGCTTTCATATTTTTTTCACATTTGTGTCAAGACCTTTCAGATTGTAATATGATATTTGACCTCATGGCCTTAATCTTGAAGTTTGATGCAGTTTTGAGAAGTTTTAATCTTTAACTTGCCATAACTTTTATTAATTCAATAATTATTATATCTTTTTGATATGATGGACAGACAAGACAGGACACACAAACAATGAAGACAGTTTCAACATGCCATAAATATAAATTGCATCTAAACCACTAAGAAACTGAAAGCCGGGGACTACCATTCTTTGAATTTGCTTGTTTTGAAAACTAGGTGCACAACATATATTAATCATTGATGATCAACAAGGGATGTCTTGTCACAAAACTTTATGAACCATGAGTATGGTCCATTGCAGCAATTTGTTCTGTGTCTCGTATTCTTTTATTACCTAGAAAAGAGTAATTATGTTCAGTTTAAACTGTTTCCATAGTAACAGAATGATTAGAAATGTATTGAAAATCTGAACTCTTTTTGTATGTATAAAATTTCCTAGATCTATAGTGATTGGCTGATTGCAATACTTGTACTTAACTGATACATTGACAAGATGTGTATATATATCTATTGCAGCTTTGGGGAATGAATTAATAATGAAAGCCCTGTGCCAGCCAAGATGAAGGAAGACTGAAGAATATTGACTATACGAATACTCAGTATAATATACTAGGCTGTGAGTGAAGCAGTCATGCAATCGGTATTACACAAATAGACAGTCAAAATCTTCAGTGATTTTAAGGTAAGAATGATGATTTTTGTATATTTTAGCATCAATATTATTTCTCTGTAAATGTGCAGAAATTTTGAAATAAACATGATAAATAATGAAATGTTCCAATGACATTTTTATCACTTTGAATTATAAAAGACTAAGAGACACGGTACGTATATATGTAATTTATCTGTTTTCAAAATACGTTGTTGAAAAATTCCTGATATTACACTCAGTGTATGTATTTTTAGGGTACTCAACAATTCAGTCAAGTTTTGGTATTAGTACAATACTGTGCCCATATAACTTTAATTTTCAATTTGTATAATTCAAATTGAATGGAAGACATTTAACTGTCAACGTTTAAAAATAAAAGTATTTATTAAAAATTAAAAAAAAAAAAGAAAAGAGAGACATAAATTTGCTTATTAATCAAAATGCAGGATTATAGGGATGTTTGAAAATATGTTTCCCAAAATGTGTTTCCCAATACAATCTGGGGCGTCATGGAGTGCAATAAAATACAATTAAAGCATGGAAAAAGTTTCCCAAAATGTGTTTCCCAATACAATCTGGGGCCCCATGGAGCGCAATAAAATACAGAAATACAAATATAAGTGAGCAATAATAAACAAATATAAAATACAAAATTTATTAGCAAGGGTAAATAATTAACACCAGATATTGTGTTAAATCCATTTAATTTGACCTGTATGTTGTGCCAGTCTGTTTACTTTTGCATTAAGATAAGTATTTTACAATTAAAGCATGGAAAAAGATGGCCAGAAAGAGGTCTGCATGCTTAAACTTTATCTTTAACCATCTGAAGTTTACATTGTATGCTAATACTTTTATTGACAGTAATAATTTAGTATTGTTGGGATGGTTTTCTTCTTCTTTTTTTTTTTTTTTAGATTTATTAATTCTATATGAAATAGGTTTTTAGGTCACCTGAGTCACTCAGGTGACCTATTGCTATCCGTTTTCATCCGTCCGCGTGCGTCGTGTGTTAACATTTGAACATTTTTAGCTTCTTCTCTGAAACCGCTAAACCAATTTCAACCAAATTTGGCTTGTAGCATCTATGGGTAAAGGGAAACAAAAATTGTGAATTTCATGGTCCCTGCCCCCCCCCCCCCCCCCGGGGCCTGAAGGGGGTGGGGGGGTCAGGGGTTCTGGTGTTAGGGCGGGGCTCTATTGATTATATAGTGAAAATGCATTAATTCTTTGAAAATCTTCTCTGCTCCTGGGTATTAGATAAAGTAACTAAGTACATAGTTATGATGAGCAGAAGTGCCTCTTCCAAAATTGTAAATTTCATGGCCCCATGGTTAGGGGTTCTGGTGTTAGGGCGGGGCTCTATTGATTATATAGTGAAAATGCATTAATTCTTTGAAAATCTTCTTCTCTGCTCCTGGGTATTAAATAAAGTAACTAAGTACATAGTTATGATGAGCAAGAGTGCCTCTTCCAAAATTGTCAGGGGTTCTGGTGTTAGGGCGGGGCTCTTTTGACCACATAGTGGAAATGCATTAATTCTTTGAAAATCTTCTTCTCTGCTCCTGGATATTAAATAAACTAAATAAGATGAATAGTTATGATGAGCATGACTGCCTTTTCAGAAATTGTGAATTTTATTGCTCCTGGCTCAGGGGTTCAGGTGTTAGGACAGGGCTCTTTTGATTTTATTATAATAGTAAAATTGCATTAATTCTTTGAAAATCTTCTTCTATGCTCCTGGATATTAAATAAACTAAGTACATAGTGACGATGAGTTATGATGAGCATGGTTGCTTCTTCCAAAATTGTGAATTTCATGGCCCCTGGGTCAAGGTCTCTGGTGTTAGGGTGGGGCTCTATTGATTATATAGAGAAAATGCATAAATTCATTTTAAATCATCTTCTCTGCTCCTTGGTATTATTCAAACAAAGGAAGTACAAGGTTATGATAAGGAAGAATGCTTCTTCCTAAATTGTGAAATTCATGGCCCCTGGGTCAGGGGTTCTGGTGAAGAGGGGGGGGGGACTCTATTGATTATATAGTGAAAATGCATAATTTCTTTCAAAATATTTTTTCTACTACTGGTTATAAAGCAAAGAAACAAGTGTATAGTTATGATGAGCAAGGGCGCTTCTTCCAGAATTGTGAGTTCATGGCCCTTGGGTCAAATGTTCTGGTGTACGGATTGGGCTTAATTTATTTAATAATATAGTGAAAATACATTTCTTTGAAAATCTTCTATGCTTCTGGGCATATTCGAGGCAAACAGAGTAGTAGTTTTAATATGCAAAGGTATTTTTACCAGAATTTTGAACACCTGGACCATTTAGTCAAGTGTTCTGGTCCTGGCCAGTGCTCTATTAACTTGTATTCTGCTGAGCAAAGTTATTCTCCTTCACCTTTGCAGAGATTCATTTTGGTGTGTGTCCTGCGTAAATTACGCACAAATTTTGCTCAGGACGCATTATTTCAATAAATGTGCATCCCAATGGACGCAATAAATTTATAGAAGGACATGTACTTTTTAAATTATTTCGGTATAATTTGATTCAAAACTTGACCGATTGCATCATATCCACGTGCTAAGCGATATGCAACAACAGGTCAGATTTCACAACTGCAGTTAAAAGCAATAATCAGAAAATATTAGAGTTAGATAGCATAGTTCGATTATCACTGATTGTGTCTATACCATGGAACATTTCTGAAGCAAATACTATACCTGTGTATTTAAGCTGTAACCTGTATCATCGGGGTTTTTTTTTTTTTTTTCCTTACAAGCTAAGAAGTATAAAAATTTAATCATTTTTATTTCTGACTATTTGTCATTTCTTCTTAAACTTTTTAGCTCACCTGAGCTGAAAGCTCAAGTGAGCTTTTCTGATCACCCGTTGTCCGTCGTCCGTCCGTCTGTCCGTCCGTCCGTCTGTAAACTTTTCACATTTTCAACTTCTTCTCAAGAACCACTGGGCCAATTTTAACCAAACTTGGTACAAAGTATCCTTGGGGAAAGGGGAGTTTAAATTGTTAAAATAAAGGGCCAAGTCCCCTTACAAGGGGAGATAATCAAGAAAAGACAAAAATAGGGTGGGGTCATAAAAAAATCTTCTTCTCAAGAACCACTGGGCCAGAAAAGCTGAAACTTACATGGAAGCATCCTGGGATAGAGTAGATTCTAAATTGTTAAAATCATGACCCCCGGGGGTAGGGCGGGGCCACAATAGGGAATCCAAGTTTTACATTGAAATATATAAGAAAAATCTTTAAAAATCTTCTTCTCAAGAACCACTGAGCCAGAAAAGCTGAAACTTATGTGGAAGCATCCTGGGGTAGTGTAGATTCTAAATTGTTCAAATCATGACCCCCGGGGGTAGGGCGGGGCCACAATAGGAAATACAAGTTTTACATTGAAATATATAGGGAAAATCTTTAAAAATCTTCTTCTCAAGAACCACTGAGCCAGAAAAGCTGAAACTTATGTGGAAGCATCCTGGGGTAATGTAGATTCTAAGTTGTTCAAATCATGACCCCCGGGGGTAGGGCGGGGCCACAGTAGGGAATCCAAGTTTTACATTGAAATATATAGGAAAAATCTTCTTCTCAAGAACCACTGAGCCAGAAAAGCTGAAACTTATGTGGAAGCATCCTCAAGTAGTGTACACTCTAAATTGTTCAAATCATGACCCCCGGGGGTAGGGCGGGGCCACAATAGGGAATACAAGTTTTACATTGAAATATATAGGAAAAATCTTGAAAAATCTTCTTTTCAAGAACCACTGAGCCAGAAAAGCTGAAACTTATGTGGAAGCATCCTCAAGTAGTGTACACTCTAAATTGTTCAAATCATGGCCCCCAGGGGTAGGGCGGGGCCACAATAGGTATTACAAGGGGGGAAGTCTGGTAATGAAGAGCATGGCCAGTTACTCAGGTGAGCGATGTGGCCCATGGGCCTCTTGTTTTTACTTCATCCTGCTTCTGTGCATTTTATGACTGATATAATGTGTGAGATCATATGTACGATCTAAAAATAGAACCAAAGTGCACAGTGGACAATATATTATATTTATGACACAAAATCATGTACTCTTACTTGGACATTTGATAGTAAAAGTATAAAGCACTCACAGCTACAATAAAGCATTTGCACTTTCGTGCAATACCTTTTTTTATTTGACCAGAATTTCATCTGTAACATCTAATATACGGTACCCTTGGATTTGGATGCATTGATTTTGGCATGGGACTCATTGTTGTCATAAAGAGGGGTCCTTTGGACCCATGATAACCATTTTCAAAATCATTTAATGAATCACTGCCTTTGATAATTAATCATTGTAAACAATGTATTTGAAAGGTTAATAAAATGAGAGAATCATGCAAGAATTTTTATTGTATAATACAAAAAGTACTTTCATAGTTTTAATGATTAGGTAGACTTGGAAATAATAGATGAATGAAAATGAGACAAAAATAACTTATCTTTTTAAATGTTCTTCAAAGGCCAAGAGAGGCCAATGCGAGAAGTAATAATATGGGGTTAAAAAATAGATACTATGTTAAAAAGTCTGCATGGTAATAGTGATAAATGGGGGACAGATAGATACTAGACCAATTATTTTGTTGATGCTAATCATACTATTTTTCTTGCTTTTGGGCAACAAAGCTTCATTTATCAGTTTATGGATCCTCTAAATTGTTGTATTGTACTCAGGTGACCGTTAAGGCCCTTGGGCCTCTTGTTTAGTTAATAGATTGATCAACTTTTGGGATTTTTGATTGCTGTTTGATTATTTTCACAGTTAGGCCAACTTTAAAGATAGTGTTTGATTGCCCTCTCCCGACACAGGATGAAAAATTGGGTTGATCTATTTTCTTGAATGCATAAAAAATGTAATTGCTTCTTGAGGTTTTTAGCCAGTAGGTAGGGATAGGGCAACCAAACAATTTTTTAAAGATGGCCTAACTGTGTTTGATTTAATATTGGTTTGTTAATACTATAGGAGTTGTGTACCTTGCCAGAGATTTTTTCTTCTTCTTTGCACATAGCAGGACAAAAAACACCTTTAAATTTAATTTTTTTTAACACTTGTACTTAAGCCTTAAATGACTTAGGATATTTTCCATAAATAAAAAAAGAAGAAATTTTAGTATTATAATGATTACATTAATCTTTTTAAAATTAAAGAAGAAAGGCCTCAATGTTAGAGAAACTGTATAGCTACACTGGTCAGTAATGACATGGTTATATGGTGTATTTCTGTAATTGGATTAAACACAGGATTGGCTTGTTTTAAGTTCTAGCTTTGTCCAGTGTGGATAAACCCGGATTTGCAAAAAATAACAATTGCACTAAACAGTTCTTTGGTGCTTTACCAGCTTATGTCTAAATTGTGAAGTTTAAATCACAGTAGTTTATTGTTTCCAGTGAGGTAAGCATCGTTTTGGAACAAGGGTTGTTTTTGGAAATAATACATGTAGGTATTAAGACCAATCATTTATGTCAAATCACTTTCAAGTTGGTCGCAGACTATTGTGCTGTGCTACTTCTGCAAGTTATTTTCCATCCTGAAAATTGTCTTTAACATGGAAAATTTTGAAGCTGCAAAAGCATTTTTGCTGATTTTTTGGGGATTATAAGATGGAATATTGTTATGCTGTATGACATATTTTTCCACTAATGAACACCCAAAATATGGGACTTGATCACACATCTGTTAACACTCAAGATACCGAAAATTTCCAAAGAATCAGGGAGAGAGTTCTTCGAATGGTAAGGAAATTAAAAAGAAAAAGTGACCTGAATATTATTGCATTATGCTGTCCTGTAATATATGGCAATATATAGTATGTCATTTCTGAATACATGTAATAAGGAATGGCAATGCTAGGAAAACAAAGTTTCAGGTGTAACTAATCTTTTCTGGTTTATATATTCCAAAGAATTCTTTAGATTTCTGAGACTGTTTTTTTGATTCTGCAAGTATGATGACTGAGATATTACATGTATGTTACAAAATTTAATGTTTATCTTGAATTGCCAAGTGATTTTGAAATTAAATTGGAATTTAAAGGCAATCATGCATTTGATCCTTATGTTATAATTTTTGAAATCACTGAGTGAAAAATCTTTCATATTTATGTTGGGAAGAATTAAGACTTAGTAACTCCATGTTAATACATGCAATAAATGAATATGTGTAAACAAAGTAAGAAATGAAGAAAAGAATATTAATGTATCCATTTTGTTAAATTTACAATTCATTATTTACACTTAAATGAATGGTAAATTTCAGCTGACTGGTCATGTCTGGGGGATTTAAATGTTTTACTTTAGAAGTAGCAAAGCATACATGTTCAAGTATTGATCCAAAAAAGAGATCAAATTAGATTCTCACTTTGAAGATATTAAAAGATAGAATTTGACATATATAAGGTTGATTTTAGTCTTTGTGAAAATTGATTTAAATGAATGTATATATCCTCTTTTCAATGTTTTGAAATCCTACCCAAAGTTTGAAATTGAAATATCTCTAAGATGCTGTGGCATTCAACCCAGTACCCTGCACTTGATTGAAAAAGCTTGTTCGCAGGTATACAGTTGAACAGGGCTGGCAGATTGCCACTATTGTCGACAGGAAAAAACTTTTTCTCTCTAAATGGAATCTCCTTAATGTTTATCCCAGCTCACAACAATTTTTGAGATTCCTTGAGGATTATAAGGCATTAACAGAAATTCTAATTTTTTAATTAACGTACAATTAGGTAACATTAATATGGATGAAGTGTTTATCCGTTTCCAAATGAGGTCATCCTGAATTTTGGCACTGTGTTTTGTATTGGGTGATTTCTAAATGCTTTCTTTGTTTACGTGGGGGAGTTGGTGTTTTTCAGAGATTTAACATTTGTAAAATTGAATGATGTTTGTAAAATTGAATGATGTTTGGAAAATATATCTTTACTAATTGTGAAGTGTCATGATAAAGATATACGCATTTAACTGTAACTGGGTGGATGTAGGAAGTTTTATCACAATGATTATAAATAACACATAGTGGTCTGGGATATATATTTTCTGTCAATATGGTAAGACTTATGTCATTGTGTTCATTTGATAAAGAATTGCAAAACTGAACAGTCTAAAGATCATTTAGAAACTTTGAAGTCCCAGCTTTATATAAGATCTGTTGTATTATTCCTTACACCTGCAGAAAATGAATTTTTTGACACAATGTGTAGGAAAAATTTCATAATAACATCACAAAACTGCTGTCCAAAATCAATAATCAGATCTTACTGTAAATGTCTAGTAAAGGGTCAATTACCTAGTAATCTTTTTATTATTGGTTCAGGCTTTTAAAAGTGTTACAATCTTGATGTGAATTGTCCATTTGAGATGTCCATATTATTTTTAGGCGGCACTACCACCAATGATGGGGGACCTCCTAGAGTACTTTGAGGCCAAGAACCACTCTCTGGACAAAGTGGACGTCAGTCACTCGGTCAGCTTGGACAGCAAATTCACATCCTGTATCACATTTAATGGCATCCCAATCTTACCACCAGTGGTAACTATTTAACTGCTCTTATGTCTGTAGATGTCAATGTTAAATATATTCATATGTTACTTTCCCTATTCATAAAATTAACTCATTTTAATACAAAGAAGTTGTGTGTCATAACTCCTAAGCACTTGCAAATATACTGAGAAATCATTATTTTTTCGCTGGGTTAAATTTTTGTTGTTTTCATGGTATGAAGGGACATACAGAGCCATTCCCACCCCCACCCTACCAAATGCTAAAATTTTATATTACAGTATCACATTTCTTCTTCACCCACAAAATCAAATAATTTTTTCCTGAAACTAAAAAAATTGACACAATGAAAATAAATGACTTACTGATAACAATCTATGAAAATTATTTTGTAATTTGTAAATCAACATTTGTAGATGACACAAAGAAGACGAGAAGAAATGTCCGGATATCGCAGACAGGCCGTTCAGAGAGAAACTCGTAGGAGGTCCAAACAGCGCCTGCAGCTAGTGGCCAAAGTCCAGTCCATAGTGGCCGAGGTTGAGGTGGGTACAATGTGACCGGCATAGCATGAGTAGAAATTTTCTTAAGAGTTCTGCAGATATCCAAGTGATTTAAAGTACTCATACATATATACTAAGTTAAATATTTTATTTCAGTTTTGAATTATTTTGTAGTTGTAGGGCAGGTGTAATTGTATATGATATCAAAATATTTTAGTAATTGGATACTGATTTGAATTATTTTGCAAATGACTTGTTTTCATTTCAATCATTAATTTTCATCCTTAACTGTCATATATAGACATGATAGATGAACTTCCAAGTAGTAACATTCATTTGATGATTAGGATCTTAAATTAACACAGTTGTTAGTCCACTGTCTTTTGTAGATTTTATTGGGGAAGGTTTTTTTTACACAAGATACTTTTGTAGAAAGCTATCATTAAAATTATATATAAGTAATAGTTTCCTTTCCTTTGATTTTTAACCATTTTGAGTAAATCAATCTTGAACTTTGTTGAAGGTATTAAAAGATAAGCAAACAATTTATAGATTGATAGGAAATTAAAATTAATTAATGTAATTAAGCTTTGATAATTTTAAATTTCAAATTATTCCCTCTTCTTACTCATCAATGCTAAAATTCTGATTTTCAGTCAAAATAGATCAATATGCTAAAATTCTTATTTTCAGTCAAAATAGACAATTATATACATTCAAGATTTCTTGCATTCAGTCTATGATCATTCATTGTCCATTTCATTCATAAATTAACATCTGTCATTAAACCTCCATGCAAATGTACCTTTGCAGAAGGAATTTTCCTTAAAATGCCGCACTCGATTGCCCCGGACAGCTAACATTTCCCGACTCCTTGTAGGTGGATGAGAAATTTTTATTTTTCGTCACTATCAGATTGTATTCTCTGATAATTGTCTTTCTGGGTGTCTTTTTACTTTGTGTATGTTAGATAGAACATCCCAAGAAAAAAAAATCTGTAGATTTATTTTTGTAGTAAAAATTCAAATTTTCACTTTCCCTAAACTTTTGCCTCTGTAGCTTTAGAAATACTTTTTTTCACTGATAAAAGTTCATGGAATAAGTATGTATTAGGATAATACAATAAAAAAATAAATGCTGCTGATTTTTTTTTTCACAATTCAATGTATTAAAGTTAAAAAAAAATTATTGTTTATGATGAGTATAAAGGATACATGTACTTAAATTGCTGTGCCTGTGAGAATTTCTGACATACACAAATTTGATTGGTTGAGGGGAATTTTTGTATCATCTGGATCACTGTAGAGCTTTAAAACACCGATCCTGTTCAGTGTTCAGTCCTAACATGTGTCCTTGGATTGAGAGTGACTCTGAAGGCTGTATTTGTGGTGTGTGTTTTTGCACCAAGTGATTTCATTGAAGTTTAATTTGTCACACTTTAAACCAAAACCTTAGCAAACAAAGTAGATGTGTGTTTCAGAAAACAAGTGTACCTGTACATGATTGTACAAAATGTGCAAGTACATTGATCGTGCACACTTTCTTTATTCTTAATTATTACACAGATGCTTGATTTTCTTAATATATATTGCACAAAATATTAAATGTTTATACAGCATCAACATAAATAAATCAGAATTCATTCTTCTGATCAAACAGTTTTACTAGATAGTGAAAAGTATTTTCCTATACTGTAATAAACACCATACGTAGAAGATTAGCATCCTAAATTTTACTAGATTTAGACTTAAAATCTTTCCAGTGTAACAGTTGTACATATTTACTTTCTCTGCAATCACTGATTTAATAGTGTTTTAATTGGTTTAAAGTAAGCACTTTCAAATTTTTAGAGAGATTATGTTTTAGTGATGCATTGTACATTGAATTTGATTAGACATATTCAGTATATTTCTAAAGGTAAATTGTTGACTTAATCTTCGAAGGAAGGTTCAAGTTTACACCCATTGATTGTATTTCTTAATGATTTACAGGAGAAGCGTTCTAGAGCACTATCTGACTCCACTTGTTCCTCTCCGGTCGGATCTGACAGCGCTGCTTCATCCAGGGTATCTCCGGGTCCGAATTACCGATCTTCCCCCTCGGAACCTCCAAAGTCAGGATCTGGCTCACAGTCAAGGCTTCAGGATCAAAGTATAGAGGACTCCCATAGTGTCATTACAAAGAAGGAACACAAGGATGTTCAAAGATCTCAGGCACCTGAGAAATGTGAAAAGACAAATAAACCAACACCAAAAACTGAAGTTAAACAAAATGTAAGTGGAAATGCCAGTAAACTTAAGGGTGCTTCTAATAGTACAAAATCTCAGACAACAGATACAGCAAGGGAAAAGAGTGACTCAAAGACAGTGAAGTCCGCTCCTGTGAGCAGTAAACAGAAACAGTCACAAATACCCAAACCAGTTTCAAGTCAGAACCAGAATAAGGCTTTAAGTAACCTGAAAAGAGCTAGCTCTATGTCTTCCCTTCCCAATTTGGCTAAAATTGAGGGTCTACCCACTCCTAAACCTCCAAATTCCCCTAAAACCAAGCAGCAGTTGAGGAGAGCTCGGCTTGGAATGTCAGGACAGTATTCTATATCTCAGCCAGATCTGAGGGACATTGACAAATCAGACTCTGAAACATCAGTGTCTTCACATTCACAGGTGGAGGAAAGTGCTTCTCAGAAACGAAAGAAACTTTTATTGTCTACACAGCACAGTGTGTCTAATCCAGACCTGGTTAATACTGGTTTGTCACCAGATAGAAGTCTGTCTGCTGAAGAGCAGATGAAGGGCAAAATGTCACCTAAAACAAAATTGAAAAGTTCCACAAGTGTTCCAAATTTAACAATGGTGGGTAGGACCAAGAAAAAGAAGACTCATTCCCAAAGAGATGCTGAAAAATCAGCTGCCCAAAAATCACAACAGAAGCCACTGAAAAATTCTGGTGAAGGTGCAAAACCTAAGAGTTCTTCAATACCTATTAGTATACCCATTGAGGTAGACAATAGAGAAGAAAGACTAGATTCTCTGTCAGATTTCACATCCTTGGACAACTGCAATTCTCTTCCTGAAGAGTTTGCAGGAATGCCTTTGTCGTCTGTAAGACAACAGCAGATCAGTCATGTGCTTGTAAAATTATCCCAATGTCTGAACATTCAGGACACCATGAGTACACTAAGTTCTACCGTTTCCTCTGGACATGACACTGCAGAAATTAGACAGCAGATAACCGATCAGATTTTAGCATCAGCAGGTATTAAACCAGGGTCTGTACAGGCTCAACAGTTCTTAAATCAATATAACATACAACAAGGTTCATCCGAAAATCCGACGGATGATTCTTCAGTGTCGAACGCTCAGACGCCACCTTCATATGATTCTAGTAATGTGAGTTCTGAACCAATTAGCTCAAGCAGTGGAGGAAATAGAACCCAAACAAGTATAGCATCTAACTCCATTATGAGTTCTGGAGGATCTGCCTCTGGTGGACAACAACAAGGTAGAAGGTTGAGTCCAAAAGGAGGCAAGAGTAAGGTGCATTTCTCTTCATTTTTAACAGAGATTAGCACCAGTGCAAGTCAGTCCTTGGAGGGCAGGATTTCTGTCAGAAAAATGGACATTACACCTCAGAACAGTCCAAGGGTTAGTGTCGATACTGTGGATGGGTTACAGACAATTGATTCACAAGAAAAACTGAAACTGAAGATTGTGCCAAAAAACTCCAGTGACCTGGGATTGGGCTCTGGGCCTCAGGTCAACTATGATAACAATTCCGAGGAACCAGAGTCCATGTTGAGTAAAGTGGCCCTTAGTCCAGAAACTTCAGAGTCCTCCCCAGGAACCCCTAAGGATATATTTAGTAAAGGTCTTCCATTTCATGGATATGGTAATGAACCAGAGCATAATACTTCTGATAAGGAAAATGAATTCAAGGAGAAATCCATGGTTGGAACTTCTGAAGGATTTGTTCAGACAAATGTGTCTTCATCTTCCCATGTTGATACTCAAGACATTGTGAAAGAAAGTGTGAAATCTGATGAAGGTTCTCAGTGCAGCACACTCAAAGCTAGTCAAGATTTATTAAGAAGTAGAGAATCAGGTGTTGAAAACAGTAAATCATCAGCTTCAGATTTAAAAGGTGAAAGTCAAACTTCATATTCAGAGAAAAATTTCGAGGGCATTAAGAGCAATCAAACGGGACAGCAACAAATCAAGCTAGTGTCTCATGATAAAGGTACATCTCAGCATGCTTCAGTCACACAAAAACGGACAAACGCAGCAGACACTACATGCAGAGCACAAACTCAGGGAATCCGGAGTAAGGCTGAAGCAAAGCGTGCGCAGCTGACCTCTCAGCAAGGTCAGCAGCCCTCTCCAGCCGTGTTGCCTGCTGAGTCTCACGAGTTTGTCTCGAGTGGTGCAGCAAGTAAGGGACCATCTTCACGGTCTGCTCAGAAGAGGTTAGACATGGATGTTGAAAGAAACAATGGATATACAGGGTCACATGCACAGAACTTCTCCTTGGACACTTCCACAGAACAAGAGGGCAAAGCTGAGCATATACAAAGATATTTGACTCATGTTCAAAGCCAGCGTGGAGCTTCTCCTGTGAATACGGGGATGCTTCCAGAAATGGCCCCCATTGGAACCCCTGCAGACATCACAGCAGCCATTCAGTCATTTACATCAAGTCTTCAGTCACTAGAGAATATGTCCGAGGAGGAACTACTACATATTCAGGCAGAACATTTTGACAAAATCCGTAAATTTTTAGTAGAACAGCAAAGACAACAGTTAGAGGAACTTTTTGTTATTCAGAGAAGGGAACAAATGGAACTTCAGAATGACATTGCAAGTTACCAAAACAATCTCAGGAAACAGGCAGAATTCAGCAATATTTCTTACCTCAGTAATAGCACTCAATTCAATCAGCCAAATCTTCAACACTCACCCGAGAGCAATGCAGCTTACAACATGGGTCGACCAGATGAGGTAAATTTGTTATGGATTAGCTACATTTTACAGCATGTTACTTCTCTTTTGCCTATGATTTAAGCAACTGAAGAAAGAATTTTTTAAGTGTTTGAGATTTCTTATGGATCTCTGATTGATAAAATGTCTTATTTTTAGCCTTTCAACATCAGCCACATTAGTCACCATGGTAACACAGCAGGAGTAGATAACTACCATGACACACAGCCTAAGCAGTTTGCCTACATATCTAGTCCTAGCCTTTACTTCAACCCCAAGGACCGGGATAACAACTCCGACATCAGTACCTTCAGTAGGGCCACCCCCAAACAGTCCCTCCAGTTTGTTAATCACTCTACTCCCTCCCCTAAATCCTTCAAACCTGTGATGCATTCTCCTGTTAAACAACCATCAGTTGCGAGGCACAGTAAGCCAGTCAGGATTCCAGATAAGGTAAGTCTTTTCTTCTTGTCTGGTGTATTTGTTGATGATAACATCCATGTCAAATTCAGTTTTTTTCAGGGAGTACTGTAGATTCCTTATTTTTCAAGAGTACTTAATATAGCAAAACGGCTCTTTGACGTCAAATCAAGAGAACGATTCATGAGTGGACGGTCGATCAAGAGATTTTATATGGATTTCAGTAACACAAAAATAAAAGCGAGTAAATTTATCTTGTGTGTTGCTTCTCACAAAATTACACGATAATTAATTCCTCACATATATTTAGGAATCTACAGTATTCTGTATAAAGAAAAGACATATTCATATTCTACAGATATTCAGTTTTTATTAGTAATCACTGTTCATTATATTTCAATTATACAATCCAAATTGTGTTGTCTGATGTCAAAGCATATACATGTAAGTGAAAGATCTGGATTTGTTTATAGGCATTCGATGATGACATGCAGCCTTGCTTTGACCGAGTATCAGCTTGTGTCAAAGGTTACTTGACTAGGCGATTACTGAAGACAGAAAAAGTTCAGGAGATTATAAAAACTATACAGGTATAAACATATGTAGAAAATTGACTTTTGATGTACATATATTATTGTAGAATTTAAATTTATTAAGTTGAAAATGAACTCAAATGAAATCTATGTAGAAACTTTATACCAGTGGAAATAATGAAAGAAAAGGGAACTGGAACTTCTTAGCCTCCTTTCTGATTGTGTTTTATTTTGTTCTTGTGTAATTAATTTTAGGACACCAAGCAGTTTGCATACAGCTTTCAGGCAGAGACTCCGATCAAGAGGGGAGTTTTCTCTCATCAGGACAGAGATCTTCTAGATAGGATTATAGCTCAGGTATGTTAACAAAATACAATGTATAATCAGACAACTCAGACATATTACAGAAAGATAATTGATCAGATCATTTTCTTTGTTGCAAAAAAAGGTGTACACTATGTTATTAAAATTGTTACAGAAATACAATGCATAATCAAATAGCTCAGGTATATTACAGAACTACTAATAATTAAATCAGATCAATTTGTTGGTTATTAATATGTTATTAAAGTTGTTGTATTTTTAAATATCTTGGCAACAGTTATCTATAATTTGTTGTAATTGAGAATTCAGTAAAGTCTTATTTTAGTAAATGCTGAACTTTAAATTTATCTCTGTTTTATGATTTATCAGGATTTATTGTTATGCTTTGATAAAAAATCAACCCATAAAAGCTGAAGTCATACTTTATCAACATACATTAATATTTTGTAACAAAAAATATGAATTCAAGATGAACAATAATAAAGACAGATGTTTTCTATTATTTTTTTTAAATCAACAGCTGCAGGCAGCTTTGCTTGACATCCATGAGATTTTCTTTGAGATCCCTGTGTATGAAAGGATGGCCCTTATTGCACATTCCAGACAGTTATTGGAGGAGAAAAGGCTTAGAGACAGTGTAAGAATTTGAGAAAATATATCTCTCATCAGATTGATTTTAAAAATATGGATGTTGCTTTGAACATGAACTGACCCCTTTGAGAAAAGTAAAGCAGTTTGGTTTTGGGGTAGCATTACTACAGAAAGTAAGTGCACATGGTGTATTTTACAGTTGAACTTCTATATCTTGAACATCTATCTCAAATACCTTGGATATTTCAGAGTCATTTGAAAGTTCCAGCCTCTTTTTTTTCTATATTACAATATGCAGTGAGAATGATGAAAGGAAAAAATCAGATACTTGTTCAAAGTGTCAAAGACTACCATATTCATATGTCATGACATGTTTAGTGATGCAACTTCATTTCTGTTTTTACTGAAAAACTTTATTTTCACAGCCTAGATATAGGTGAACAATGAAGAAAAACACCAAATGAATGTTTAGTCATTTGGTCAGGAGGGCCAAAACCATTGATATAAAACTCTGCAGGGTACTGCATGGCTGATTTCTTGGGGTTATAATGATGTTATTTTATTTTCAGAACAATGTGAGATCTAGTGTTTCTACCTCTCAGCCTAGAGTCAGCTCGGCAACAATTAAGGCCATGGAGAGAAAGCGCAAAGCAAAGTAAGTGATTCAAAATATACATGGACCTGGATATGTGCATTATTGATGTTAATTTTTACAAGTATCACAGGTTCACGTTAGTTCTTCGGCTAACAATTCAAATTATGCTTTAAATATAGATGTATTTATAGGTACATGTAGTTTTAAGAAATATTATCCTATAGCTACGAGCACTTTGAATAACATTTCACATCATGCATCTATATATGAGGGAGATATATGTAACTTGGTCAAATTTTCATAATCCCTATTTAATCTTAGTGAAACGGAGGTAGCTGGGAATTTGCGACCCCAGTCTGCACCAGCTGAAACATCAATGTCTAGACATCCAGCTGCCCAGGTCAATAACCAGTCTATTGACTTCAGGTAAGTAAAAGACAAAGATTTTCTGTTTATGATTAAATCTTCATAAGTAAAATGCACCAAAAATGGAAGATTACTGAATTTACTGTATGTGTGCTTAATTAGAAGAATTAATATTTTGGTGGAGTATCGATTATGCTTATGTAAAAGTGCTGCTATTATTGAATGTAATTATAATAAATAAAATTAATATACTGTTAGTCCTTTTTGATAAACCTTTGACTAAAATTTCCAGTAAATTTTGACTGCTGTTAAGTACACATGCAGGGTTTCAAAACACACAGAATTTTCTAGATTGTTTTATTGCACACTGTCTTTCACTTTGATTTATTTTTCAAACTTTTGATTTTGCTCATCATTTTTTCATTTATATAAGATCACAATTTCTTCAAATTAGGTAATAAAAATAAGGTATATTCATTTCAGTATATTTATCAGATGCACTTTTAAAATGACTGTTCTATATTTGTTAGCAATATTTCTAAAGTTACATCAACATGCAATTTCCATCATATAATAATACAAGCACTGCTGTATTTATATGAACTTTATCTTTTCTGTTTGTCCTTCTCCACATTTCACAATGTATTTTTGTGTGGAGCACACTGATTGGAAGAGCAGACTGCTGTGACTAACACAATGGGCACGCCCCCTGATTGGTCATGTGACAGGGTTGTCCGCTCTTCCTTTTAGCGTGCCCATGAGACGTCACTTCCAATCTCTCTTATCCAGGGCATTAAAGCCAATACAAGGCCAGTCTACTGCAGTAAATCCCTCCAGGTGAGTTTATAATCGCTACATTACCTCATTGTACAGTATTTCCTGGTTTAAAGACATCAAGGATTTTTTCTACATCTTTTCCACCATTATATTTGATGTTTCAGAAGTTACATACCATTATAGCTGTTTACTGTATATAAGTTGAACTTTGATACCTCGAACATGGATATCTCGAATACCATGGATATGTCGAAGTGATTGGGAAGTCCTTATCGTGTATTTCTTAAGTATTTTACCTTCAATATCTTAAACCCTCGGATATCTTGAAGTTTTTTCTTGGTCCCATCAAGTTATATGGGGGGGGGGGGGGGGGAGAGAGATGTCCTGATAATTGTGGGTATTTGATTTAAAAGATACTAAAAAAGAATTTCTCTTATAGGGAGACTAACAAATCCAAGCCTGGTGTGATATTGAGTAAGCCGGTGTCATTGGCTGCTTCAAAAGCCAAGAAACCTGTGGCTGCAGGTGGAACAGGTAAACTTTACAGCAGTCACTATAAAAAAAACACCTAAATAAATACAAATCAATGAAATCTTTTACTGCCTCAAATATTTGGCAAAGTTTTATAGCAGTTGTATTTTCATTTCAGTGTTTGTTTAAATTTACATTTGTAAGTAATTTAGAGTTTGGTATAGTGTTTTCTAATAGAGTGGCATTTGTTTCAAATTAGTTTTTTTTTTCTTTTTCTTTTTTTTTGCATTCAGTGCAGATATTAACAAACATTTACTTGAACTAGCCTTTGCTCAATTACTCTAATGTATGTGGATTTTTATTTTTTGATTTTGTTTTTTGTTTTTTTTTATAATTATTATTTTATTTTATTTTTTTTTTTATTTTCAAAAGACATTGTAAAAAGATCAGATATTGTTTATGTTTTTCAGTCACAGGAAAAACTACAACAAAGTCCTCTACCAGCAATACAAAAACTAAAGCCGTCGTCAAGTCAAAGTTTACCAAGCCTGCAAGTGCGTGGAGATAACACAGCCTTTCCCCTAAGATACTGCTACACAACTGAGCCCCTGCCATGCTGTTGTGCATATGAGCTTTTGCCATACTGTGCCGAAACATCCAGGATGTGTAGGATTTCACAGTGTTAGAGCAATCAAGTCAGGATTTTGACAGCATTCTAAATATGTGATTTGGAACTGGAGACTAGTTTTTGTTTCAAGAGAACTTCGTCTTTGATAAAACATCATTGAGATGAAAATGGTGCAAAAGACATCTAGTATAGTGGATGTTTTGATTCAACTTAAATGCTGGATCAATAGATTTGGGATTGTGCCATAGAGTCCACAAGTCCAAAACACGAGGATACTCTAAATTTTAAAGTTTTGTTAACATCACAAATTAAAATATTGAATTCCTCAATGTTAACTAGCTCACTGAACAAAGATTCACATTAATATATCTCTTAAGATTGATTTACATTGGTTATTATCAAAAAGAGCCCATCATTTATCATTGACATATACATGTACCGTTTTTGAAAACTGACCATAAAATTAGCTAGACATGCAGTGCTGATTACTAATAAAAGTTGTTAGCTCTGCCAAAGATCCACTAGTCCGAGAAAATAACTGTCTTTTTCAAAAATTATTTTTATTACACATGTAAAACTATATTAGTTGTTACATCATCTGTCTTGCAGCTGGCAAAAGACATCTTGGCTCTTCTTTGACATATAAGACTCAGTCAAGATAACTTTGATCCCAATTATAATAACTGATGAGTTCAGCCACTTGGCTTGATATGCTTTGCTATCGGTACAATTAGTTGATCTGAGACAGATTTATCAAAGTAAATTTTTAATTAATGGAAGTTTTAATTCATCCAATTGGGCATTGATGTAAGCAAATTTGTTTGTCTGCTGCAAAATTTATGGGTCTCTGTCAGGCACGTGGTTACTTCAAACACTGCAGGTATACTTAATCCCTCTGCAATTCATTATTACTCAGCAATATGTTATACATGAAACTTCTTGAACAAAGAAATCATACTCATGATACTACTATTTTTTTTCTTTCTGGGGATGTGTTAAGAAAGCAAAACCTTATTTATATTTTTTTATGTATACATTTTCTTACACATTTGGTGTTTTTGCATTTAATTACTGTAAAAATGCACAATAATTTGTTCAGGTGATATTGAATAACATGTACATATATACTGTATGTACATTAATACTGCACACATACATGTTCCTTTCAATAAAAACAATGTCCAACTATCTTTAATATTCATGTATAAACACATGTATATGTGTATGGAAATGCTATGCAACTTATTCATGTAATCATTTGCTTATGAAGGGAAATTTGGAAAAACTATAAGTATGTGATAAACTGTTATACTTGAAGTACTTTGTTGATTTTTAGCTCTACTGGTCAGAGACCAGAAGAGTTTATGCGATAGTAAGTTGTCCGTCATCCATCCGTCTGTCTGTCTGTAAACAATTTTTCAAAATGCTACTCCTCCTACAGTTTTGGTCTGATTTCAATATAACTTGGCACACAAGTACACTACACTGAGATACATAATTCTGTATATCGGTTTTTGATTTCGATTAATGGTGTTGCCATGGTTACTAAAAATAGAAATTTCTGTGAAATACATTCAAAATGCTACTTCTCCTACAGTTTTGGTCTGATTTCAATATAACTTGGCAAACAAGTACACTACACTAAGATACATAAATCTGTATAATTCTTTTTGATTTCGGTGAACGATGTTGCCATGGTTACTAAAAATAGAAATTTCTGTGAAATACTTTCAAAATGCTACTCCTCCTTCAGTTTTGGTCTGACTTCAATATAACTTGGCACACAAGTAGATTACACTGAGGTACATTATTCTGTATATCCATTTTTTGAATTTGGTGAAGTGTTGCCATGGTTACAAAAAAGCTGAAATTTCTTTGACATACTTTCAAAACATTACTTGTCACCCACGTGCGCAGTGGTAGAACGATTGCTCTAGAGTCGCAGAGTAAGGAGTTGATCCTTACGTCGCGGGTTCGAATCCCACTGTGGGACATGGAGACCGGACCTTCGGATGAGACTGTATAAACCAAGGTCCCATGTCGCAGTAGGTGCTGGCACGAAAAAGATCTCTTAATGCTCAATAGCCCTGAGTGCCGAGCATAGGTCAAAATTTGCAGCTCTCCACCGGCAAGTGGTGGTGTCTCCATATGAGTGAAAAATTCTTGAGAGGGACGTTAAACAACAAACAAACAAAATATTACTTCGCCTTCAGTTTGATCTGATTTTAATATAACATGACCTGCAAGTAGACTACACTGAGATACATACATGTAATAGTCTTCTTTTTTTTTTTTTTTGATAATGATGAATGTTGTTGCCATGGTAACTAGAATCAAAATTTCTCTAAAATTCTTTTAAAAGGCTACTCTTTCTACAGTTTTAGTCTGATTGCAATTCATCTTGCAACAAAAAGAGAGTAAAACAAGGATTATTATTTATTTATTGCTTTTGCAAAGTTTCAAGTCCAAGTGCTACTTTTCCTTTGTTATAAGTACAAACCAGTAGAGCTACAGTCTCGACAGACTTCTGGTATTATAATACAATATGATAAATTGAACGTTATATGTCTGAAAGTTGAAATAAGAGTGTTGATGCTCAGAGTTCGTATCTGAGCAGGAAAAACATTAGCCAAGTCTATCGCAGGGTTATTTTCTGAACATTTCCATGTCTTACAAACAGCAAAAGGAAAACACGGAAGCTATAACTTGTAATCTGGACATTTTTTTTTTTATTTTTCCACGACAGAAGTTCGTAATGAAAGTGGTATCATCACACAGCCTTCAATGTCTTATTTATTCAAATCCGGACTATATGATAAAACAATTATGGACTCTTTCGGTGGTGAATATGGTTTGTTATTCACCAGAAAAATATCAATATTGACCTCGGCCTCGCCTCGGTCAATATTGATATTTTTCTGGTGAATAACAAACCATATTCACCACCGAAAGAGTCCATAATTGTATAATATTCATTCCTAACAGTTTGGGCCCCAAGATTGCACTAAATCATACAATCTTGAACATGTTGAAGCCTTTACTTCTGGACTTCCAACAGGCAAACTGTTTGCATGGTAATAATGAGCAGCTTGTCCTCTACCAAAAATTGTGAAAGAACTGCAAACGATAGTATTGTTCTTCTGCTTATCTTCAAGTCAATTTTCAAAAGTTAACATATTTGAATGATTTTCTTCATTTCGCGGTTTATAAAGCATAAACTTTCCCAACCAACTTTATACTGTATAAATTTGGTAGCTATTAAATTCATTCCTTAAATGAGATGTATGTGAATTTTCTAAAAACTTAATTTTATTGGGAAAGCAGAGGTAATTCTCATCTTCGCTAGCCAAGGGTTTCTGATACGCTACTCTCCTCATAAGTTTATGAGGAGAGTAGCGTATCAGAACCCTTTGGTTAGCGAAGATGAGGTAATTCTAAGTTTGATAAAACTTGTTTTTCTTTAAAATCAACAGAAAACAAATATTTTAACCCTCCCTCCCCCCGCTCGATCCCGTGAAAGAAAAATTCCTTTTTACAGGCATTATTTATTGTTATATTATAAATTCATACCCTCCCAAAAAACTTTTGTTTCGGGGGGGGGGGAGGGGGGGGCATATGTTAACGAACATAAAACAGCAAAAATTGTCATTTTATTAACTTAAAATGAGATTACAAATTTAAAAAAAATGTACTTTATCGAATCAATCTTATATGTTGAATGTTATGCAAGTTAAACATGCCGAAAGTTTTGAGGGTCATTTATCCCCATGAGTATTTGAAAAGCTGGCGATGATTCCATAGCAAATTTCAATGGATAACGCCCGCCCCACCCACTTATGAAAAGAGTTGTAAATAAGAGAATTTAAACCTTTTTGACACTGGTTTTTAGAATTATTAGTCAATTACAAATGAAATCTTCTTTGCATTCAAGCATGTTTTAATGGCCAAATTGCCATTATATTGAATTAAATGGGTGTAAAATGTAGACCGGTTTCGAGATTTAGCGTGTCCCATCAGTTTAGCGTTAGACACCAGGGTATGCTTCTATTCTGTTCGTAGGGGAACAATGTTAGGGGATTTAATGAAACACGCCTACATCATCTCGTCACGAACAATAAGTCTACCTCAAAGTATTAGTTATTTTAATCTGTATTCGAGTAACCCACATAAAGCACTAAAATTTTGATTGCCCACGAACAGTGACCCCCTACGAAGTAAATATAATTCGGGGGGGGGGGGGGGATTGGAAATTCATTGTATTGCATTGGTGACTATGTCCTTTTTAAAAAAAAAGAAAAAAAGAAAAGAAAAGATCGACTTATAGAGGGAAAACAAAGACCAATGACCTTAGTTCTGATAACGGTCACGATACAACATACGGGTACCTTCATTTAAAATAAGTGTCACAATAACCAGATTATGATACATTGACTTTGTCTGTCTGTCCCTAGATTGATAAGTAATGGATATATGCTGAATACTGTTCTATATGTAAAATTATCAGACTGTTTGAGGCCCGTTAGGGACGAAAACAGTCTGATAATTTTACATATAGAATTGTATGAGGCATATATCTTACTTAAAACATTGCTATTTAAATGTCCAAAAGTTACCTGGAGGAGTCCGATAATTACACAATAGGCATCAATAGTTTTCTACCTGAAAGCATCTAATAAGTAGACAAAAGACAAAAGAAAAGAGAAAGGGTTTTTTTTTTAGACAGTAAAATCAGTGAGTGAACTCTTTTGTTTCATTCATTCAATCGCAGTCGTTTGGCTGAAGGATTTTTTTATGATTCGGAATATTTTTTTTATTAAGTGCGTTTGACATTGATACAGTGTTGGATGATATCTTCAAAATGCATTTAAAGTAAAAATGGGGATTTTTATCTAAAATTTTGATTGGATGATATACTGAAAATCTTGGGTTTTAAAAGTGCGGTCATTGGCAAACAAACCTCGTTAAATGAAGAGATTCGCAGACTGGTCTTTATCAGAAATGGATTTAAATTGGCTTATTCACAGTGCTGTATCGAAAACGCTTTGCAAAAAACCGAATGGAAAGTGTTACTTTTGAGGAAGGTTAAAACTCCAGTTTTCTTCTTGGATTTGCTATTTTTAACATCTTAATTTCCTCGCGTTCGCTTTCCCTGAATTTTTTTCTCCCTAACTTTTTTTTTTTGGTAATTGGACAAATTAAACCTTCATTTCACTCTAGTTGTTGTTTTTTAACTACTGTCCGATTTTGTTATCACTGCCATCCGATAATATATTATTGGACTGCTAATTATTATTATCGGACGGCTACAGGTAAATTTTTAGACGACAAGAACAAAGGCATGACGTCACAGCAATGTTTTAAGAATATATATACATGTTAATTTAGGACAGGTGCTACAAACGTAAGATTGGATGCATGGATTGCGATGGTTAATATTTTTGGGACTTATTTTGGTTAAAAATGATACATATATCAAAATATCAAGATATTGTAGATTTTCTAAGTTCATTTTTTTTTTCATTTTTGCCATGATCTTTATAAATCTATGCGACCCCCCCCCCCCCCAATTTAATAAGACATTAAAAAACTTTGAATGAAAAGTGAAAGTATATACGACTAAATTTAAAATTACTTAATCACAGATTTGGTTGTTATTTTGATGATTTTTGAAGAATTGTTTGTATCTTTCTACTACATACATGTAATATGTATACATGTAGTAAAATACTACAAGCATACAGTAGTAAAAGTATGTTTTTATTTCCATTTTTTTTTTACATTCATGTTTAAAATTTTGACATTAAATTTAATTCTTTATAGTTGATGTACATTGATACAGGCCCGGCCTTTACCTTTAGCGGCAATTTCAGTGGCCGGGGGAGGGGGGGGGGGGGAGGCAAATTAATTTGACAAAGAAAACAAAGGTCATCTGCACAACTATAGCTTAGCTTTGTTTTCTATTGTAAAGCCAGTGTATACTGGCTTAGGAGGCACCCCCTCCCCCATTCCCCACCCCCACTTGACCACCTTTCCCCGCTTAAACAGACCTGCGTTTATCTACGTTTATCAGAATAAAAGTGACACATACGTGCACTGTTGTAAATTTGATTACTTGAACTTCCTGCTGTTGCAGTACATAAACACTCGGCAATCCTCGAGTGTTATTCAGTAAATCTGCTTTCCTCAAGA